ATAAGTTACAGAAAAATCAAAACGGTCTATCTAGGGAAATTCTTATAGTTGCATGAAATCCATCACGTGGACTAAATGAAAAGGTTGATTTTAATGCAACATCTACGGCTTGACACAGATTTATAAAACGTCCAAAGTGTTGTTCATACTTATCGTTGAAACTACCCGTTCTAATTTCACATGAAATTGACAAGACATCTCCCTAGGATGGTCGAACCCAACAACTTCAGCCCGAGGGAACTCAATCTCAACTGCTAAAGAAGTTCTTCCATTCAAGACATCACTTTGAAATATAAATCAAAGGTAAGAATGCCATTCACATGGTGAAAAAGAGGCAAATATGACAAGTCGCTAGGATAGTCGTCTTGGAACCTATGAACTAGGACTTTTTACGCCTTTTCTGTGGATTCCTACGTGTCAAATGATGGAAAGGAACATCCATCTTGCGACACTGCTGGCAGTATCATGACATTTGTTGTCACAATCAACCATTCTATCATGGAGAAAGAAACGAAATTCTAATTTCAATAAAATAGGACCACTCGCCTCATTCGAGTCTTTATCAGTTTCAGACTTATGAAATGAGACATGAGGATGTCTTCTCATTCACAAATCTCATATCCAAAATAACATCAATTCCAGCTAAAAGTCAATGAAGAACATAGACTTTCAACCACTGGAATAGTGACACCTAATTCTCGGGATGATCGAACACAAGAATATCAATCATCGACTTAGAATCTAGAAAATCGAAGAAATTCTCATAGTCAAATTTGACACTAAAAGAAGAACCAATAGGAATTTAATATTGAATAGATTTGAAATCAAATAACAGTTGAATCTCCAAGACCCGGTGACTGAATGGGGATTTTTGAAGTCAAAATTGGCTACAAATCCCACAGCAAATGAAAACCATTCACTAGAAAGGAAATAAGTGATATGATCAACTCTAAAAGTACATATGACTTAACATCGAATCCCAAAAGTGAAATGGCAGATAATGGTATAGGATTAATACCCATAGTCAATGTCTTACAATGACATGGTTCAAGTTAACGAGCAAATCACCGAGACTAACACTCGAGACAAGAAAGAATTTTGATTCCTAAATAACGTAGGATTGTGATGGAAAGATAGCACAATTCGATACACAAATGATAACGAAGAGACCAACTCCCGGTCACAACAGATTAAGAAAAGAATTCGAACTTGGAATCCTGGAACCTGTGGGTTATGACCTACCACGCTTCCAAACGAGGTCAAATACAATAAATATCAGAGATACACGTCAATATCTTGATAGGGTCGATAGCCACCATTGTCACCAATCAAAAAAAGAACGATGTCTCATCAACACAAGAACCCATGAAGTAAACACTCTTAAACAAAACACTCTCAAGAGATAAAAGAATGTATTAGTAAATTAAACTAAAAGTTAGGATACAAAGCTAGATTGCAAGACTAAGCTTGCGCATCGATCAAATCAAGAAAGGCAAAACATAGAGGGAGGAAACTTTAATGATAAAGGCTGCTCAATTTCAAGGCATCGCTCTCCATCGACTTGAATCTTTACGTTAAGCGGGTCGAGAGGTGGAAAAGACCAATATCGATATTCAAACTCAATGAAAGTCAAAACGAATATCGTTTCCTGAACCGAAATTCTCGTAAAAAAAATTTTCAAAGTCAACATTGACTTTGAATTTTTAAAACTAACAAGAGTCAAGAGCACTTATGAAAACAAATCAATAACAATCGGGTCGAAATCAATACTTCCCGAAAACTCCAAAGTCAACTTTAACCTCAATCTTCATATCGATAAACATCGATAATAGAAATATGGATTCCATCCATCAAAGTGCTCTAGCAAAATGAAACGGACTCTATCGTCAAATTCTCAAGTGCAACTGTATCATGTATTAACTAGTATTGTACGGCATGTCCTAACACAAAACTGTTAAAATAACAACAAAACTCAGTAAAAACTCACACAGGCTCGATTTCCCATGCAATTCGAAGCTGTGCTCTGATACTAAAAACTGTCACGACCCCAAGGATAAGACCGTGATTATTGGGATATAATAAAAGAAAATTAACTTAATTAAACTGGATTAATTAAGGAAAATTCATGAAAATAAAATAAAATATACAAATACCAAAATAGATATTAAAATATATTACTCCGGAGTCTTTCTTTTACAAACAATATTTAAAACAGTCCATAAAATCTAAGGAAAATAGTACAACTCTGAAACAATGTCAACCAATACAGTTTATATACAGAAATACAGTACATCACAGAATTAAAAACTGTAAATTCAAAACAAACTAACCACTTCAAATCTCACACCTTCAATCCATTAGCATCCACTCGCCATGCTGTAAATCTAAATCACTAACTCTGGAGGGGGTTTAAAACATTCAAAACAGAAAGAAAAAAAAAATGAGCGGAAGGCCCAGTAGGATATAATTCTATAAAAATTTAATAATTAGAGTACTCACGGTCCGCAAACATACACCCAGAACCGATCATCCTCTAAAGTAAGGAAATACTCATGTAATAGTAGCAAAATATCTGGATAATGAAAATATGCAAAGCCATAATATCACCACTGAGCAAGAAATGGCCCGTACGAGTTTTGCGACCTGCCCCCAAGGATACAATTCTCATATCCCGATCTTTGTGGCCATCATACGTTTTATCATTTCTTAAAATATCTCTTTTTAACAAAGAAAACTATTTAAAATCTTATTTCTAAATTATTGGAAACTCAATAACATTATTCATGCTATTTCCTTTAAAATCATTTCTTTCTTTAAACATGTTTTGTTTTTCAAAACATTTTCACAGGCCAAAATCATTTAAATCATGGCTATCAAGGATATGGACACGAATATCCTACCTCTCAGATATCAAACCTGGGCTAGCCTTTTGTTATCCTAGCCTCCGTTTTCCTCAAAGCTTTTAATCTGATCCTTCAACTAACATTGTCACAAAATAAAGTTTTAGGACACAATCCTCATTTCTAAAACAAATCAAGTTCTATTATATCTAATTGTTTCCTATTAGTGTGCATTGGCTTAAATCTGAGTTTCACAAATGACTTTATAATTCAGTTTGAGGATTCTTAAAAATTGAAATCCAATTCACTAGTTTGGTTTCCCATTGAATTTCGACTTAAAAAAATAAGTTTTTAAAGAAATTTTGGCAACATGCCGGCATAAATAGGAAAAATGCCAAATCTGCAATTTAATACAATTTCAAAATAAATTCTCTAGAAATCATCAAAGCTAGTTTCCAATCAATTCAACAAGTCCAATATCTGAAAATCCCCAAATTTAATTCAATTCTAACAACAATTGTTCAAATCCAAACCCTAATTCAAAATTATACAAATCCAATCAAAATTACAAATTCTCAAGCCAATAACTCAAATTCAAGTATGGGTTTCTAAGAAATCTTTACCTCGAAGTGATTGAAGCTCGTTTCTCTTTATTTCTCTCGTTTTTGTGTTTTTCTTCCCTGTTTCGGCAAGCACTTCAAGAGAGAGAGAGAGAGAGACACACACACTTTAAGAGAGAGAGGTGGCCGGAGAGAGGGAGGGAGTGGTGGCCGGCGGTGAAGGAAAAAAGAGAGAGAGAGGAAGTTGCCGTGGAGAACCAGAGGAGAGAGGGAGAGAGAATAAAATGAAAGAAAGAAAGAAAGAAAGAGAGAGGGGGAGTGGTCTGGGCAGCCACGGGAAGGAAGGGAATGGAAAAAGAAAAAGAAAAGAAAGAAAAGAAAAGGAAAGGAAAAAGAAAGAAAAAAGGACAAAGAAAAGAAAAAGAAAAGAAATAGGAAAAAATAAAAGAAAATACATTAAAATTTAGTGTATTTTCAAAAACTTTTGGGGTGAAATCATAAATACTGAAAATAATTTAAAGTTCCTTAATTAATTGAAAAAATCAAATTAGGCACTCAAATAACTCACAATTTAGCATAATTAAACATGTTTAATTCTGAATGACGTTACAATAGCAAAATCTGAAACTCTATATTTGTAGTACAAAAATTTAGTTACAAATGTTTAAGATCGGTTTTACTAAACATTTTTAGTACTTAAAATTTTATTTTAAATTTGTTTTGATCCACATTCCACCATATGTTTGAGCTTTTTTGTACAAAGTGATGAGGATTAATTACAAAAAATTCCCGCTAAACTATAATCACTGTAACATTTACTCTTCGAATTTTGTTCTTTTAACAACTTTACCTCTTCTGTTATAATGAGTGATGAAAAATGCCACTTGTCACTTTCTTAGTCGTTCTGAGTGAGAGTTGAGTGCAAAATTACACGTTTACCCTCCTAATAAGATAATCCCTCATTTTGTTCTTTTGTTCCCCATTTTTATTCCTCATTTTCGTTCTTGCTTCTCCTCATTTTGTTCATCCATGGTAAGTACTTGGAGCAGCGGAAATACAAGGACGCGATTTAACCATGGACATAGTACAAATAGTGGTAACTCAAAGGGAAATTTACAAGAAAACCCATCAAGATACCATAGTCAATCAAATTTAAGTAATGAACAAATGAATTTTGCATTTAATATTCAGAAAAACGCAACAACAACAACAAAAAATGAGCAAGCTCACTATCAATAGGATTGATATCACCACTATTTCCCTCTGTTACAGCCATTGAGAGTGATTCAATAGGTTTGTTAAAATGAAGCTCCAACACCCACCCCAACTTTTTCATTTTTTTAGCAGAGTTCTAACCCTAAAACCCAAATTCAACAAGTCTCTTACGTTATTTTGAGTTTTTTTTTTAACACTTTTTTCATAAACTAAGTTTTAGAGATCATTTTACCATAATACCCTCTTTACATGGTAATATGCTTTCAGGTGACATTTTGGGTCACTTATTAAAATAGAATAAGTAAATTTATTAACAGAATAAAGTTAAAAAAAAATGGATGATACTTTCTAAAATTCAAGATGCCAAAATATTATAAGGTCATAATTTGGAGAAAATTTTTGTAATTAATTCGAGTGATAATTCACCAAGTAAAACAGTAACATCCTTATTTTCGTCCGATTCGAATATTACAAATTACGAAAAGGTGGAGCAAACAGAGTCACTCGCAAGTAGCTAATATATTTGACTTTCGAGTCTTGAAGAAAGATTGTCTATCACGTCGTCTATGAAACGACCCAAAAAAGAGGAGGCCCCACCTTCCAGTAAGCCTTTCCTGCTCTTCTCACTCATCTCTTTTACCTTCTTCCTTATATCACTATCGTGCACCATCACACTCCTTATCCCTCTCTCTATCTCTTCAGCTTTCAGAATAACCACCCCAGGTTCATTCCCTGTGCTTTCGTTGAAATCCTTCCTGTAGTCCACCTTAATCTCCACCGCTAATCCCAACTCTCTCACCAACTGAAAAGCATTCAGTTGTTGCTCTGCATACAACGGCCACGTGGCAACGGGCACGCCGAACCACAAGCTCTCTAGTGTAGAGTTCCAACCGCAATGAGATACAAATCCTCCTACGGCTGGGTGGGCCAGGATAGTCGTCTGTGGGGCCCATCCTATGACCTTGCCAATCTCAGTCGTCCGATCTAGGAATCCCTCGGGAAGAACTTCGTTCGGATCTGTGTAGTCCGTTGGGACAGGGACCATGCTGCCTTTCTGTGGGGGTTGTCGTAGGGACCATAAGAACGGGACCCCACTTGTCTCCAACGCCAAGGCGATCTCTTTCACTTGATCCCCACCGAAGCATCCCATGCTCCCAAAGCAGAGGAACACTACCGAGGAAGTAGGCTGTCTATCAAGCCATGCTACTATTTCTGTAGTCTTCTTGTCAGCCACCCCGGGACTTAGATTTAATATGGGCCCCACAGGGTAAATTGGCGGGAATGATTCCCTGTTAGATAAGGACTGGATCACGTTGGATTCTAGCTCCATGAACGTATTTACCAAAATACCCTTCATTTTTCTCATCTTCCTGTGATGATTGAGGAACAAGGGAAGCGCTTCCTTGTCAAATAACACACCGGGTAAGACCTTAACCGGAACTGGGTTGATAAAACCGGGTACCAGAAGCTCCGAATCCGGTTTGTCCTTTAACTCAGTTATGTCCACGTTATGGTTGTCGTTTAGGACTTGGGTATGGAACATGAAGCTCAGTGACCCAGCTCCTGACGTGAAAAACAAGTACGACGGAACGCCAAACTCGTCGGCCACGTCCGTCATCGTAGTGCAGAACATGTCGATGACGAACCCGGCGAGTCGGGGACCCGACCCGGAATCGACGAGCTTCTTGACTGCGTCTCGGACCAAGGGTTTCTGATCCTCAAAGAATCGAAAGAGGAAGTTGATGGGTTTGAAGGCCTCACCGTCGATCTGGACCGCCGGTAGGTCGATGAACTTGATGCGATCCGATATGGAAGCGGAAGAAGAGAGAAATACTTCAGTGTGGGAGCTAACTTTGGAGTCGGTTAATGGGAACTTCATGATGAGGACTGATATGAAAAGACGAGAGTCGCGAGCGACGAGGAGCTTCGCAATCTCCACCGTCGATACGATGTGGCCCATGCCCGGTGCAGGGATGAACACCAGCTCCGCTTGCTCTCCAGTCATCTTTCTCGTTATTTTTAGATATTAGCTTCGATTTTACACGCGCAGTAACGCTATAGAGTAAAGAATATATGAATATATGTGGAAGTAGCTCTGCCTTGTGTATCCCATATAATAAGAGTGCATGATATATATAATTTATATTATTCATTTTGTACATATTTGTTTATTGATTCACAAATATTTCAAAAGCCATGCATTATTGTGTGCAAGTGATGTCATGGCTTTGCTGGCATCTATCTCCTCTGCTCACTTTCTTTGGCAAATTTTTGTGGGCAATCGTGAGCATGCAGACAAGCCAACAAAGGTCGAAATTCGAAAGACGATGATAATTGGTCTGCGAAAACTTCACATGCATTTATCAGAACCACAATATATATATATATATATATATATTCTTTTTCATTCTAGAACCTTTTTTTTTTCCTTATGAAAAAGATATATATATATATATGTATATATATATTCTTTGTTTTTTCTAGAACTTTTTTTGATGATATATAATGAGTGTTCGAGGCGTTACGACCAAATCTAAAGGGGTTTTTAACCAGAAGAAAAATCTAGGCTGAAGGATTGTGTGGGGGAACTGGTGGTCCAAATTAATTGCAATAAGGACAAAAAGAACAGCCAGGAATGGCATAAAGCAATTCATTGTTTCGAGTAAAAATATTATCAAATATATATACACTCATGATAAGCCTAGGTACTCATAGTATCGCGATTCGATCGTAATCTTATCTACATGTGTACATGGCACGGCAACTATATCTATATACGTTTTAAATCTCCTCTTATGAGGAAAAAAACTAAAATAACTTAATTTTGTTTGCGAAAGAGAAAATTGATGCATATGCCCTCTTTTCATGTTTCCATACCCCTAATAATAACGTATTACATCGTGATTTTTTAATTGACATGACTTTTTAATTAACATGTTATAATATTATTAGATGGACATAAAAAGAGACAGGAAACACATGAATTGATTCTCTTATTTATTTAATAAGTAAAATAGTTTCTTTCTTCTTTTTTTTCTTGCTTTTCTTATATGATCTCAAAGTATATCTTACAGAAATGAGCTCATAATATGGTTATAATACTTTTACGTTTACAATATGTTTTTTGCTAATTAATTTGAATGAATAAGCTATAATTGAGATCGGTAGTCATCAGTCAATGGCCTGAATATATATATATATATATATATATATAACGTTCCTTGTGATACAATTATGAGATTTCATATAATCACTTTCTCCAGTTTCCTGAAAAAAAAAGATTAATTTAAAGAAAATAAAAGGAAACAGAAAAAGAAACAAATTATCTACTGGGAAAAAGAGTTGTGAAAGAGGTTTCTTTCCAAATGAAAAGGAGAGAGTCTCGCAAATTGCTAATTATTTAATTTCCGACAATATAATTGGTATGCAACAAGGAAACAAAAGGTGAAGATAGAGTATCAAATCATAACAAAACAAAATATTACATATTGTGGCAAGAGATCTAAAAGATAACAAATTTCTTTGTATACATTACTCTTAATCAATTTTTTATGTCATGGGCGAAAACCCTCCTGCTAAAGTCTCACAAAACAAAGGGTTATTTACCTTTTTCTACCTTTTCTTTTAAATTTATTAAGATGATATAGTTTTGCCTCTTGATCTCATAATAAATATACCGTCAAATTATATAGAAAAATATATCTTTACGGTTACGACTCAATTTTAATTTCAATTACGCCCAAAATACCTTCAAAAACTGTAGGAATTCCATATACGTACACACACAACTAATAACTTAAGGAAAACTCACACCTCCTCACAGCTCACCTTAATTACTCCACACCATGGCTTCTTGGCAGGAAGGAGTGCCACTGCATGCTCTTTCTCACCCCGGACAAGTTTTGTTGCTCAATGAGCTTAATAATGAAGAGTTATGTTTATATAATGTTAGTAGACCAATTCATCTCAAGAGCTTAAGTTATTAGGAGGTGAGCCAACAATAATTTTATACTTCAACACTTTTCTCACGTGTGGGTTGGATAATAGGTAATCATTTGGGTAAATTAATTGGAGAAACCAATATGTGAATTCAACTTAAGACCTCCCACTTTAATACCGTGTTAGTTTTCTAATCCATCCACGCATCATAAACTATTAGAAAGTGAGCCAACAATAATTTTATACTTCAACATATGAAAGTAAATATATGCAAACTTTATTTCTTATAGCTTTTAGGGCTGCAAGAATTTCTCAAGCCAAGCGAGGCAAAATCTTCTCTCTCACACTTTTCGATCTCAAAAAATAAAAATAAAAATAAATAAATAAAATAAAATAGAGGCCAAATGTAGAGTTTGACAACACAAAGTCCAATGAAGGTTTCTTTTTTGATGCTAAATGTAGTAAGGCCGTAGCTATATAGTTGATGCTAAAAGTCTTAACATACAAAATTTTTTGTTTGTAATAAATTATAATACTATTTAAATGTATTTTTGTAACTAAATATCATAGGTCTACCTACAAATTTTTTTCACTAAAAACTAGGAATTTTGTCGCTATTTCAATGAATTTGTAGGTGAAAAATTATTTTAGCAACAAAATTAACATTTATGATAATTTAGAGGAGTGTGTTGGTTTGAGAAAACAGGTTTTTTTTTTTCTTTTGAATAAAAATACAAAGAACTCAACAAAAAAGTATTTGAAAAATTTTCTAAAACTATTAGGCTCCTTCTTACGTTACTATATAATAATTAGCAAAATATGTTCTTAGTCTCACCTATTTGCAATGACGGAAAAAGGGTTCTCCTTTTCTTTAATATAGTGATTTTAATTTTAATATAGTAGATATGTGTATAGATTAGACTTAACCCCTTTAAATTAATAGTTCTCTATATTTAATAAACAAAAACTCGCATATATACATGTTAAGTATAATCTTAAAAAAAATAAAAAATAAAAAATTTTAACCTTCCTACTAATAAATCTTGATTCCGTTACTATCTATTTGACAAAAACTTCTAGATGATCAAGCGTTCCAAAACTTTTGATCTTTCTTGCTATTCTTCTCTCCTTGCATCTAGTGTGTAGGCACCGATTGAAACTTTTTGAATTTCGCAATTCTCTTTTCATCCTCTCTTGGATATGACTTTTAAACTGTCAAAGTAAGAGCTATGAAAACCTAAATAGAGGCCAAAAATGTTCTTTCTGAAAGTAAATTACAAGAGACTTCATAGAAGATAATCTAGGCTATTATCTTTTTTTTTTTCCTTTTTTATATATGTACACAACATATATTACTATCAAGAGCGAATTTCTTAGATATTTCGATTCGTAGTGAATTTCTTAGATATTTCGATTCAAAAAAAGAGTAAGAGATTAAAAATTTGAAAAACAAAGATTGGGTTGCGCTATGCATATAAAAGAGTATATAATAATCATGTATTTGGCGAATCAAATACCATGGTCTAATAACAAACCATTTTGATGAGTTGATAAGTTGATATTACCTAGGGTTTGGACCAATTCCAGAAGTCTACCAATAGTGCCGTGTACACCCATCACCCATAGGGAGTGAGCATGCAGCTTATCTTCCCACAGTGAGAGGTATGTCATGTCACACTCCAATTAATTATCCAATTTTCTTTTAATAAAAATCCATTTATTAAATAAACAAGATCCAATATATTTGAGAATTCATATATATTTGTTTTAACACTGAAAAATTAAGATAAATAGTTTAGAATACGCTTTCTTAAAGGACATTTAGGTCTTTTTATTGTTACAATTTGAATTAATTTCATAAATTGCCCTGGTACTTGTTACGCTGTATTTTGGAAAGGGTTTATTGGCCTCTCAATTGAAAATGCCCCTACAATTATAAAACTTACAAAATGATGATGTGTCACTACTTATACTTTTTAATAACGCTAAACAATTGATTTTAAGCGAACCTACTTCCTGAATTAAAACTTTTATATTAATTTGATCTCAATATTTTAAAAGATCAGAAGATAAATTGACACAAAAATAATAGTTTAGGGGGCATTTATGAAGTAACATTAGTTCAGAGAGTGTTCAGAGCTTATTTTCATACGACAAGGGTGAAATGAGGTTTTTCAAAATTTAGGACATGTTAAAATGGGGTACACGGTTTATGGGTATTTATGAAATTAATCTTTAAAATTTATACTTGACTGAGTAAAAATTGGGATTTACTGGAATGCTTTTCAATAAAAAATAAAATAGGGATTTAGGAAAAATTTTGGAATCCAAATTCCAAAGGTATTAATGTGCAACAATCCAAAGGATAGGCTATAATTTTTTATTACCTAAAAGTTCATGGTATAAAAATGAAAAAAAAAAAAACATATTCTATCCCACTGAAAAAAAAGAAGAAGAAAAACCCTACACCCTGTCCACGCGAAACGACGTGCGTTTTAGATTTAGGGTTACGTATTTACTTGGGAAAACACAAACCTCAGAAGAATCAATTTTCCATCTTCCTTTTCCAATCCACGCGTCCTCTCACCTCTCTCTCACTCTCATTTCAGACGCCGCCTTCTCACTTCCCTTCTCGGCTCTCATTCGCCGCCCAGCTCAAGCGCCGACCAAATTCGTAAGTGTTTTTTTTTTTTTTGTGTGTGTTAATTTCACTTTGTTCGTACGATTGCTGGTTGGGGCTTTTGATGATTGTTCAAGGTTTATAAATTTTTTAATCCTAAGTTTGGATTTCTGTTTGTTGGAAAATTTAAATTGGTTTGACTAGAAATGACGGATGATTCCTTATATTTCCTTATATATTGTATTTATGCTATGTTTGTGAAATGGGTTCGGATTGTTTTCTGTTTAATTGTGGTTTTTAGGACAAAGTATAAGTTTTTGTGTTAAAATTCCGATATGTAGAAGATTGTATTGGGAAATTGGGGAAAGAGCTTTGTAATTTTTTTTCTAATTTCTTTAACTGATTACATCTCATCTGTATAATCAGAAGCCGGGTTTTTGGAAAGGAGATATAAACTATTAGAGACTTTGGTTGTATCAATTAAAAAGTGATTCACATAAATTCTCATTAACTTTCTATTGGTTTTTCTTTCTTTTGGCCTACTTTGACGCAGTTACTATTTGCTCAGACATCAGCCATGGCTGGGTACACGGGCAGGTCTTGGACCAATACTCCTGCCAGCGTGGCATGTTGCAAATGTGGTATTCAAATGGTGCCAAATCCCGCCAATATGTGCTTGAATTGTTTGCGTTCTGAGGTCGATATCACAGAAGGTTTACAGAAGCATGCTGTTATTATCCACTGCCCCGAGTGCGATAAGTACCTGCAGCCGCCGAGAACCTGGATTAAAGCTCAGCTAGAATCGAAGGAGCTGCTGACCTTTTGTGTCAAGAGGCTGAAGAACTTGAATAAATTGAGGCTGGTACATGCTGAATTTATTTGGACTGAACCTCACTCCAAGAGGATCAAAGTTAAGCTGAAAGTTCAGAAAGAGGTTCTTAATGGAGCAGTACTTGAGCAATCCTATGTTGTTGAATTTGTTCAGCAAGAACATATGTGTGAATCTTGTTCGAGGGTTCAGGCCAACCCTGACCAATGGGTAGCATCCGTGCAACTTCGGCAACATGTTTCTCACAGGCGGACATTTTTCTACTTGGAGCAGATGATTTTGAAGCATGGGGCTGCTGCTACTGCTATAAAGATTAAGCAGATGGATCAAGGAATTGACTTCTTTTTCTCTAACCGGAGTCATGGTGTGAAGTTTGTGGAGTTCCTGGGAAAAGTTGTGCTTATTAGGAGTCGACACGACAAACAGCTTGTGTCGCATGATCTCAAGAGTAATAACTACAATTATAAGTATACTTTTTCTGTTGAAATATCCCCTATATGCCGTGAGGATTTGATTTGTCTGCCCCCAAAGGTTGCAGTAAGTCTCGGGAATCTCGGTCCTTTGGTGATTTGTACTAAAGTAACCAACAGCATTGCTTTGCTTGACCCTTTTACCCTGAGGCACTGTTTTCTGGATTCTGATCAATATTGGAGGTCGTCCTTCAAGTCTCTACTTACTAGTAGGCAGCTAGTGGAGTACATTGTCCTAGACGTGGAGATTGTTTCGCCTGATGTTAATGTTGGTGGCTCAAGGTACGCTTTAGCAGATGCTCAAGTTGCTCGGTTGTCTGATTTCGGGAAGAACGACACTATTTTCAACATAAGAACACATCTTGGCCATATCTTAAACCCTGGTGATTATGCTCTCGGTTATGACTTATACGCGGCTAACAACAATGACATTGAGTTAGAGAAGTACAAGGGCCTGGTCCTTCCTGATGCAATTTTAATAAAGAAGAACTATGAAGAAAAACGCCAGAGGAAGCGTGGGAAGGCTCGTTCTTGGAAGCTCAAATCTCTTAACATGGAAATTGATGAAAAGGGTAAAGCTGAGCAAGAAAAGGTGAACTCCGAGTATGAACAGTTCATGAAGGATTTGGAGGAGAATCCTGATATGAGGTTCAACATATCTTTGTACCGGAGCAAGGAATACCAGCCATCAGAGATTGCATCTATGACCGATGGGGAAGATGCACCATCGATTCCATTGGAAGAATTGCTGGCTGATCTTGATCTCAGTGAGGATGAAAATGGAGACAGTAACATGGCTGGTTGACTGTGAAGTGCTTATTTTGCTTGTACCTGAAGGTCGTATTTTTGGGTGGTCGGTTTTTTTTTTTCCTGCTGGTATTTGTTATTTTTTCCGTTTTGTTATGTGCTCTGTACTTTTACAGTGCATTGGTTGTGTTTCTTTATTTAGAAGTAAGCGCAAGTATTATGTTTTACTCGCAATCTTCTCCAGTAAATTATTATTATCATTTTTTTTTTTTTTTTGCTCGCTAACTTCTAAAACTGTGTTTTCTGCCTCCTTATTGTCATGAAAGATTGCCAACTTTTATATATTTCAAGTCATGACGACCGTGACGAGTGAAGAAATAGAAAATAAAGAATTAAAGATGCTACATCCATAATTTTGTTTTCTACTTAACAGATTTGCAAGAAATAATTGGACAGAGAAACAGAGAAGGTACAAAATTTCCATGTGATGATGCCCTCTCAGAATTGGGTTTCCTCATGATTAACTTTATTTAAAACAATGGCAAGTGTTTTTTTTTTTTTTTTTTTGGCCTCTGCTACATAAGCAATAAGCAAGTTAAGAATAGAACGGTTAGTAAAAACTAAAAAGTTTCCCAGCTGACGAAGATGTGAAACTTCCAGCATGGTCGGGAAAGGTGTGCTGCTGGTACTGAAAGGAAAATTGACAACTGCCGTGCCGGTTGCCTCCACTGCACTTGCTGTTGCCCGGTACTGCTGCAACTGTTGCAGAAACTGAATATATTGTCGCGAACGTTTTGTAGGATCCACTGCCCTCATTTTGCCAAGTGCATGGAGCTGCCGTTGCTTGGTACACAAAGTCAAGCACCAATCCTTGCTGCCTCCAGAGTGTATTTCCAAGCTTCTGAGAGTCCACTGAACAACTCCCCTGATCTCCATTTCCAAATCACCATCTTTAAACGTGGAATAAGACAACACGAATTTGAGCCAAAGGTCAAGAAGCCATGTTTCTTTTTAAGCCTCCATTCCACAAATAAAATCAACCATACTATAAAATGAAGGCAATCATGATAGGGGTGGCCATGGTCTCCCCAGTCCCATTTCGATGTCTCTCCCCAGCACTGGATTTGCCTGACCGAGCCAATCTGCATTTTATAGTATGGTTGTGATCCACATTGTAAATGATAGTTGAACCAACACACCTTCATATTTCAATACGAAAATTATTTGCTTCAAACGTATAATCATCAAATGCTTTTCAAACCTTAACAGAGATGCCAGTTACTGCACCCATGTATCTGTCCAAAGAACTGACCAAGTAAGCAAAGTAGCGTGTACGCACAGCCTAGACACAACAAGAAACAGGAGGTACAAATAAGACCATAACTCTGTCATAAATTGACACACTTGTCAAGTTCATGTTCTGTTTGGTGTGCGAATCCATGAATTCATAAAAAAATAAATGAAATGAAAGGTTCTTTGAAATTTATTCAAACAGTTTCAAGTCCCTTATACAAACCTTTTCTCAAATGCTTTTTGGTACAAGTCTGCAATTCTTCAACGAGACATTGTACCTTATTTATGTATGGATGTTACCATCATTTTGGTCATCAACCAAAAAATATAATTACTAAAATAAAGAGTAACTACCGTGAATCTGTATCACCATAGGCCATATTAACATATATGGTTCCATCTTTTTCACTCTGCTTCACAAACTGACCTGCTCCAAAAAACTGACTCAGCAAACCTGAAGAGGAAAAATAGCACGGCAAGTAAATAACAAAAATTTCGAAAGCTACCTATTTCCGTCCTGATAAATAATGAAGTGAAGGCAGCACGTACCTAGGGTTCCAAGAAACATCTACAAGTTATTTTCCACTTTATTAATCTGAATCAGTGACTTCATGTAAACTGGAACTGACAAAAGGTCTATAACCCGCAGCCTTTATTTCCATTGCGAATTGTCCCAGCACGTTATATATCTCATTGCTTTGGTGATGTTTCTGGTCCTTAGAAACAAAACGGTTTATACAACCAGAAATCTCAATCCAACTACATCCAATCTCCTTCCTCAAACCCTTCTCCCTCATCTGTTTCCTCAATTTACTAGCGGTATCCCACTTTCCCTCCTCTGCATACATATTTGAGAGCAAAACACGGTAGCCCATCGTGTCATTTCCTGTCTCCAATTCAAGCAACTTTTCTGCAACAACTTTTCCCAGTTCAAATTGTTCATGAATTCTGCATGCCCCAAGAAGTGATCCCCATATTTCCAGCACATTACCCTCTTCACCTAATCTTTTGACAAACTCATAGGCTTCGACTACCCTTCCAACCCTCCCTAACATGTCCGCCACACAGCAGTAGTGTGCAGTTGATGGTTGAATATTATATTCTTTTTTCATCGACTCAAATATTTCAAGACCTTCATCAACCAACCCAGCATAACTGCAAGCAGACAAGACCGCAACAAAGGTAATGGCATCACATTTAATGCCAGAATCCTGCATAGAATGAAACAAATAGAGAGCTCTTTCACCCATTCCATGCTGACCATAAGCCAGAATCATAGTTGTGTAAGTGACGGAATTCTTTTGATCAGTTTCGCGAAACATATTTTCAGCATAAGTGATTGCACCTGATTTGGAATACATGTCAACTAGTGCAGTTCCCACAAAGACATTTTGGTCCAGCAAGTGGCGAACAGAAAATCCATGTAATTGCTTTCCCAAATCTATGTTCCCCATTGGACTACAAGCAGGTAAAATTGACGCTAAGGTTACAGAATTTGGTAGTAGCTTTTTCTCAAGCATTAGTCTGAAAACCACAAAAGCTTCTTCAATCAGCCCATTCTGAGTGTACCCTGCAATCACAGAATTCCAAGTGGCAACATCTCTATCATGGGTAGAACTTTTCTCTGAGATTATTTGCAATGCCCCAACCAGGCCTGATTTAGCATACATGTCTATAAGATAACTATCCATCCCCTCGAATTCTATCCCGTGCCTAATAAGATACGCATAGGTCTGCTTTCCAATATTTGGGTCTCTAAGATTTGATGCTGCAGAAAGGAGGGCGGTCACAGTTACAGAATCAATGGCAAAACCTTGTTTTTGCATTTCACGCACGAGTAATAAAGCTTCATCATCCAACCCATTCTGTACTAGTGCAGAAACCATTGTATTCCACGAAACAACATCTCTTTCCAGCATCCCGTGAAAAATTTTGAATGATTTATCGATAGAACTACACCTAGAATACATGGCAATAATTGCATTTTGGATAAAGATAGGTATTGCTCTCAAATTTTTAATCACATAAGCATGGAGCTGTTGAGCCAACTCCAATCGTTGCAACTGCGAAACTGCAGTTAAAGCAGAAAGGAAAGTGACTTCATCAAGAATGGCCTCTTCTAATTGTATTGCTTGAAGGAAAAGGTCCATTGCTTCAACTGGAAGGTTATTTTGAACATAGCCACCAATCATGGTGTTCCAAATCTCTGTGTTTTTCTCCACGGAAAGATAAAAAATCTTCCTAGCAAAATCCACGCAACCAAGCTCAGAAAACATAAATATTCCAGAGCTCACCACAAACAAGTCGTTCACGTATTCAGCACCCATTCTAATAAGCAATCCATAAAGAACACTAGCATTGTTATAATCCCTCAACCCCGACAAAGCGGGAAAAACGTTAACAAAACTGACGGCGCTCGGTCTTATCCTCATCCTCATCATCCTCACAAACTGAAAAACTGCCTCTTCGTATCTCTCCGTCTTCACATACCAAGAAACCAGAGTATTCCACGCGACTACATTTCTCTTAGGCATTGAGTCAAATACCTTGCGGACCAAGTCACCCTTCGAATAATCACAACCACAAAGACAAGTAGAGTACATGTTCAACAAAGAATTATACAGAATCCTACTGGGGTTCGACAGGCACCTCAAAACATGACAATGCACGGCCCTACCGACCCGAGCGTTGCAAGTATCGGCGCAGGCCTTGAGGGTGGAGGAGTAGGTGTAGGAATCGCATTTGGTGTCGGGAGCGGATTTCTTCATCTGCGCATAGAAGAGAAGGGCGTCGTCGGGGAAGTTGTTGCAGATGAAGCCGATGATGATGGTGTTCCAGAGAACGGTGGTGGGCCGGGGAAGAGTGTCGAAAAGTTGGCGTGCGAGGTGGGGTTTGCCCTCTTGGCAGAGCTTGCTGAGGCGAGAGCGGATTGTGGGGGTTTTGGGCTTCGGAAGAGAGATGGTCGGAGATGGCGGTTGAGTAGTGGTGGTGGTGGGAGTTTGTGTCGCCGGAGAGGATGGGGATAGAGGGAGAGGAATAGAAGTGGAGGCCATGGCGTTGGCGTATCTACTCTCTACTGTGCTGGCCTTTCGTCCTCTCTTTTATGTGTTTGTGATATTATCTGGTTGGTCGTTATTGCTTTCTGCTTTCGGTCATTAACGGATTTTTTTTCCCCTTAAATTTGCCGTTCTTCCTTCTTTTTTATTATTTTTAAATTAATTAAAAAAATTCCTTGTCATCTATAGCTCTTATGACAATCATACAATAAACCTAATGATATTAAAAACGTAACATTTATTTCTCTTGATTTACAAAATATTAATGATAAGTTCTTTTTTTAAGTACTTTTAATAGAGATTGATATGTAAGTCGGAAGTTAGATAAGATAAAGGTATTTTAGTAACTTATCGTGTCTAAAGTTAATTTGATTTCAAAAGTTGATATAAGTTAAAAATCTAATTGTTAGAGAAAATAAACTAAAAAACCTTTAAAAAAATTAAGGAATAATAATATCTCTTCTCACTTCTATGTGAATGTATGTATGAGTGGGGCTAATAGAGTTATTACCCACTAATTATTCAGACCCTCATTCTTTAAGTGGCATGTGCAATCACTTATTTTGTCTAGAGTTAATCTCATCAGTATCTTTTGAAATTTGGGATCTTCTCTTTTTGACCCTTAAATTTTAAAAACTTCAATTTTACCCCTTAAATTTGAATCAGAGTCATACTAATTTTTTGTTAAAATTTCTGTTAAAAATGAGATCGAGAAAGGGAGAGTTTAGCTTGGCCATCTGGTCTATTTCCATTACACAAAATAATGTGACCACAATACCTCCTTTTTTTTTTGCATGTTTATAACAAAAGTTCTACACAGGGGGTTATGTGAAACTAATTCATACTTCCATAGAAGTTTAGGTGACAAACCTACAATAATCTCAAAATTCAAGGGAACTAATGAGAATAATCATTTTAATTGTCTATTTTTTTGCACTTATGCAATTTTTTTTTTTGAACTTCAATTACAAATAATCATGATAACTTGAACCAATGAGCATAATCATTTTGTCTATTCTTTTGCACTTATGCAATTTTTTTTTTTTTTTGAACTTCAATTACAAATAATCATGATAACTTGAACCAATGAGAATAATCATTTTGTCTATTCTTTTGCACTTATGTAATTTTTTTTTAAAACTTCAATTACAAATAATCATGATAACTTTGAAGTGAATAAGTAGACTTTTAAAATGGTACACAGCCTAATTTATGCTTTAAAAGACCAAAAATTTCATAAGTAATTACAATTGAGGATTGTTATTTGTTCTGATTCATATTTTCTCACGAGTCACGATTCACATATAAAGGATTTAAATATATAAGTAATCAATTGTTCCAACGCATGTAAAGTTTTTTAATTTTTTAACAAAAAAGTATCTTGTGGGTTCACTTCTTTTTACTTTCCTCCTTATTTGTTTTTGCTACAGAGCGATTTCATGAAAGCACAACGACAACCAGATCGATAAGTTCTTTCTACTTAAATCTTTCTTTCTTGTTTTTTCTCAAAAGAGAAATAGAAATTCATTAGAACAAAACACCAACACAGAATAGAAACGCTAATATATCTTGTCCATCCACAACGAAATCATCTTACTTTTCTGGTTTTTTTCACCACATAAATGAGAGCCAAGATTCATAGGGATGCCGATAGAGCTTCTTGAGCTTTTGGACAAATATTGATTCTGTGTTGAGGTTCTTGACAGTCTCTGAAAGGATATTTCTCAAAATAAAATCAAAAATAGAAATTCTTTTTCTTGTTTTATTTTTTAGTCATAAGAATCAAACTAAATAAGTGTTGACAGTGAAATTTCTGAACAACCAAGAAACCAAAATTTAAGTTCAAATTAGATTAAAACATATTAAAGTAGAGAGAAAGACATAAAACGTAAATTGCAAACCAAAAAATAGAGAACACTGAGTTTAAAATTATTGATGAACTTTAGTACATGCTCAAATCCTCACTAAGGGGACGTTTGGTTCATAGATTCAGAACCATTCTCGTTTTACGTGTATTTTTTGTGAGAGAAAATATTGTAGCGAGCCACGAATCATGATTCGAATCATGACACGAATCTCCCTTCTAAACGTCTCCTAAGTCTCCCTATTTCTAAATTGGCAGAATAAGGGAGTACTTCTAAGTATCGGGGAGATGTGAGATAGTTGATGCAATGTACTCATCCTAAACTAACGTGGAATTAGGCCGGAAACTTGGACCTGAAGGGAAGAAGGAAAACATGAGTGCGGAAAGCTCCTACTTGTACGTGGGGGTTTAGGTTGGACTATGAGCTTGTTATGCCACGAGCTCATTAGGTCGTAACCTTGTACCTTTGAGAGCTCAATTGTTTGTGAGCTCAGCTCATATATTTACGACCCTAGCTCAGCTCTAACAATCTTCGAGCTCAAGCTCAGCTATTCACAATCTCTCATTCTCCTTTAAGCTCTAAAGCGGAGCTAGGGGCTGATAGATTCGGCTAGAGGATTGAATGTTAGATATTTGAGCTGAAAGTGATCTAATTCGAGTTTTTAATTTGAATTGTGATGTGATTTTATGTGAGAGTTTTTTATTGTAATAAAAAAGTTAGATGTGACTGTTTCTAAAAGTTTTTTACTATCCGTTTAGTTCGTTGATTCGAGTTTTTAATTCGAGTTGAGATTTGACTTTATATGCTAATTTTTTACTCTAAAAAAGTTACATGTGACTGTTATTGAGAGCTTTTTACTGTAACAAAACTCAAATTTTAAACTCGAATCGGTGAAATGAACGATACTTATCACAAAATTTAAATCGGTAAAATGAACGAGAACTATAATAAAACCCAAATTGATAAAATAAACGGGCATTAATACTCCTTAGCTAACCTGAGTTAGAGCTAACTTGAACTGCGAGCTTCAACATTGTTTACGTGGACTCATGAAATATGGCATCCGCACAAACAGGCTTGAGTTCGAAAGCAAAAGAAATCATAATCTGAAAATGAAGCGTCATGGCAACTTCTCTTGAATTTTGTTTGATTGCTTCTTGACTGAAACTCTTAAATCCTTTTATTCACTGTCGATTTCTTTTTACAATAGATTTCGTTTTTCTTTTCTGTTCTCTTATGGTAGATCCAAAGATGGCGCTGAAAAATAGCAGAAGGAAAGGCCAAACTCCGACGATTTCTCAAAGGCCAGTTTCCAGCGATTTCTTGAAATCCGGCTTCCGGGAATTTCTTAAAGAACAAGTCTTCTCGCTCTTTTCCCTATTTTTTTAAAATTAGTACCTCAATTAAATTATTTATTAATTATTTAATTAATAAATTTATAATTTAAATTATAATTTATAATTTATTAAAATATTTTTTTTATAAAAAATAAATATAAATTAAAAATAATTTTAAATCATGATTTTAATCCATACTTTATGCCTTGATTTGTGTGGATGCCGCAAAGGATCGTGAGCAAAAACGACTCAAATATAGAGAATTTTTTATTTATAACTATCTAACAAAATGTCAGAATCATTTTGTCCGAGTTCATTTAGTGGGGCCCATTCTTAAATGGGGAGAAATTCACTTTTAACTATTAAAAAAAAAAATAAACTGTTAGAATTTTATTTAAGTTTATATTTTTTTTTTAAATTTGAGAAAATGTCAGAATCATTTTGTCCGAGTTCATTTAGTGGGGCCCATTCTTAAATGGGGAGAAATTCACTTTTAACTATTAAAAAAAAAATAAACTGTTAGAATTTTATTTAAGTTTATATTTTTTTTAAAAATTTGAGTTTAGAGTTAGTTTAAGGAGATGTTTAGTTGGAGGATTTAAATTATGATTTAAATCATAGTTCATAATTTACTACAGTATTTTTTTTCATAAAAAATATACGTAAATTAAAAATAGTTCTAATCACATGATTCTAATCTATGAACCAAACGTCTCTTAAGTTTTCTTATTTAACTTAAATTTTTAAACTCAAGCTCAAATTAATAAATAATATTTTTTATTTTTAAAAACGTCATAACTTTTTCATTTTAATTTTGATTAAGATGATTTTTTTATATACATTTGCAATGAAAATATGAATAAAACTCCACTTATATACTTTATTAAAATTTATCATCACAATTGAGTTTTTATTAAAATACTATATAAATATAAATTTAAGTTTTGACTCACCTAAATATAAACTCAAATAGATTCTCAATTCAAACCATAACTTAAAATGTGCACATAAACACAAACTCAAATTAGGGCATGTTTAGTTCGCTAATTCGAGTTAATATGTGATTTTATTTGAGAGTTTTTTACTGTAATAAAAAAATTAAATGTGACTATTTTTTAAAATTTATTATTATAATAAAATTTAAATTTTAAACTCAAATTAATAAAAAAAACGAATTATTTAAAATTTCAACTTAAATTATACTCAAATATATTTTAATTTAAATTAAAATCTAAACTCAAATAACTCTCGAAAAGCTCAAAGCTCGAATTCGTCAAGTAAAATCAGGTGGGCCTTGACGAAACGTACCTCTAGAAGACCTTTCTTTTGTCTGACCCATCGTGGCAGTGAGCAGACAACTGAAAAGCAGATTCCTCATCACCACTCATTTGACACATCAATATCAGCATGAATGAACATTCTGTCATGGACACATTAATTCCCTTACCCACCCTGCACCCACTTCATACAATCATATATTAATATGGGATATATAATTATTTTGATACGTTGCATTATAGCGATGCTCTGAACATTTTATATTTTTAATAATATTAAAATAATATTTTTACATTTTAGAGAACTTCTTTTAGTATTTTAATCAGTCAAAAAAGAAAATATCAATAAAGATAAATTTGTTATTTTATATTTTAAAAAAGGACCCAGAGACCATAGTATCAAAAAAAGATTTTTTAAAATATTTAGTATTATAAAAATACAGAATATTAAGAATATATTTTGTTGTAATATAAGATATTATTAAAATGATTTCTCCCTATTAATGTACAATAATGGAAGGTACATGACGCAGAAGCAATACGCAGAGCATTGAAAGTGCTCTACAACTGGTTGGCACAAATTAAGCTTGAAAGTGCTCTAGAACTGATGGGCACAAATTAAGCCCTCGTTTAGCTTGTTAGTTTAAATTTTTTTGATTTGAATTTTTTTGTCTGAACAAAAAAATTTGAGATGTATGATTTAAATTATAGTTTGAATTAATATTTAGATGTACAGTTAAAATTTTAATCTGAACAGAGAATAAAATTTGAATTAGTGTTTAGTAGGTGTGAAAAGCGGAGATAGTGGACACCTTTTTACTGTTAAAAAATAATTTAAACGGTTAAACTTAAACGGAGAGCTAAACTCTAAGTTGAATAATTTAACTCAGTTCAAACGGAATTACAATTCAGACTACGTGCTTACTAAGCTAAACTGAGCTGAACTGAACTAAACCAGTAAAGCAAACACGGGTTAATTTTATGAAAGCATGGTGAGTTTTAATAGCATTAACTTTAACAAAAGGTGTTAATTGCTATATTTTTTTTCAAAAAAAGAGAAGCTATGTGTGTATTTAGAATCGTTTTTAAAACAGTTTTTACGTATTTTGAGAAGTAAAAAATAAAAATAAAAATAAAACGATGTTTGTTTATCAAATGTTTTGAAAATGAAAACAATGAGAATAATTTTTGTGAAAGAATTAAAAAACGGTTAGAAGTTGTTTTTCTTTTTTTGTTTTCATTTTTTAATACTTATCAACAAAATTATAATATATTAATTAATAATTATAACTAAATACGATTTCACTATTTATTATACTTAAAATAATCTCTTAAGAAATTAATCAAATGTAAGTTGAGAATCGGTCTCAAAATAATTCTCAAAATAATCTCATTTTTATTTTTTATTAAAAATAAAATTATTTTAAAACTAATTCTAAACGCACGGTATATTTTCCACTTTACATCCATGTATGAAGAAGACGAGATGAATTTCCTGAAAAATCAGTAAGGAATCTGAGGTATTCCAGTTATAAAAAAAAAAAAAAAACAAATTGCTCCATTACAAGTATACAAAGAAAGTAGTGTAATATCAATCATCGTAGTAATTAAATTTAATTAAATTTGAGGAGTTTCTCAAATAGAGCATTTCTATCTAGAGCTAATTTTTATTATTAAATTTAATTAAAATTTCATTAGACTAAAAATATAAACAAAATAAATAATTTTTAATATAAATTTAATGATTGAAAACAAGAACTTAACCTAAATGAAAAACTCCCTAATTTTCTCTTAAATTTAAGGTTTTTAAGTGGAAAAATAAAATATATCAACGGAATTACGAATTTTTTAGCAAAAATAAAAGAAACGTTAAACGGTTAAAGAGCCTAGAACCCAAATGCAATTTGGAGAGGTGAAAATCACATAATTTATAATAACGACAAACCCCTAAAAAGCCATAATAATTCCATCCAAAAAAAGAAAAAAGTTATCCAGAAACCATATAGTATCTCTCTTCACCGAAGAAAGAAAAACTCAAACAAGAAGCAAAAGAAGAGAGTATAGCCATGAAGAAAACAGAGCTGGTTTTCGTTCCCGCACCAGCAAGAGGCCACCTGTTATCTGCTCTCGAGTTCGCAAACCAGTTACTGAGCCGAGACAATCGTTTCTCAGTCACAATCTTACTCATGAAATCACCATTCCATCTTTCTCTCCCATTACTCACTTCTCACGCCAATAACTTGCGATACGTCGACGTTCCGACGCCGGAACAGCTTCCACCACCGGAGCTCGTGTCGGAGTCCTTGGAGAAATATATCTCTGACTGCATAGAGAGTCACAAGTCCAACGTCAAAGAAATCGTGGCCAACCTTTTACCCAAACCGACTTTGTTTTCCGGGTTGGTCGTCGATATGTTCTGCACCGCCATGATTAGCGTCGCCGAGGAGCTTGGAGTTCCTTCCTACGTGTTCTTTACCTCCAGCGCGGGCTTCCTAGGCTTCATCCTCTACGTGGGCGACCGAGAAGGCGGTGTTTTTGAGGAGTCCGATCCCGAGTCGGACATTCCGAGTTTCGCCAACCCGGTCCCGACTCGGGTTCTGCCATCGTTCGCGTTCAATAGGCGTGGTGGGCTCGCGTCGTTTGTGGATCACGCCAGGGAATTTAAGAAGACGAAGGGTATTATTGTCAACACAGTTCTAGAGTTGGAATCTCATGCTGTAGATTCTTTCTCTTACCGTGGAACTCCTCCGATTTACACTGTCGGACCGCTTCTTGACCTCAGTGGTAAGCACGACGTGCGGTCTGAGAGAAGCCAAGACGATAAGAAGATCTTCAAGTGGCTTGATCGCCAACCGCCAAAGTCCGTCGTGTTCCTCTGCTTCGGAAGCCAGGGAGCCTTTGATGCGCCGCAGCTAAGAGAGATCGCCATTGGCTTAGAGCAGAGCGGTCAACGGTTCCTCTGGTCTGTACGCAAGACTCCACCGCAGGGGAAAATTATGCCAGAAGACTACCAAGATCCCGGGGAGTTTCTTCCACATGGATTCTCTGAGAGAACAAAGGAGGTGGGCCTTCTATGCGGGTGGGTCCCGCAAGTAGAGGTTCTGGCCCACAAGGCGATCGGAGGGTTCGTGTCACATTGCGGTTGGAACTCGACAATGGAGAGCTTGTGGTTCGGTGTGCCGATTGCCACGTGGCCGATGTACGCGGAACAACAGATTAACGCATTTCAGATGGTGAGGGATTTGGGGTTGGCAGTGGAGCTGAGCTTGGATTATAAAAACGACGGTGGTGATGTCGTGACGGCGGATCAGATAGCCAGAGCCGTTGGATGCTTAATGGATGGTGATGGTGAAGTGAGGAGGAGGGTGCAGGAAATGAGTGAGAAGTGCAGGAGGGCTGTTGTGGATGGTGGGTCCTCTTTTGTGTCGTTTGGGCGGTTGATTGAAGATGTGTTAGCAAATGTATCATGAAGTAACTTGGACAAGGTTTGTGCTTTATGATTGGCAATTGCCTTTGTTGTTATTGTTGACATTGGTGTTATGGTTATATATGTATGGCTATCCGTGTACAACTCCGTTAATGAGTTAAAAGCTTTTTTCTTAGGGGTTCAAGTACTTTTTAACTAAATCGAAGTCTATACCAATCGGTAGACTTTTGTGAGCCATAATCGGATGTATATCAGGTTTTGTCAATTTTATATATTTTTTTATGTTGAGAAGACACCACGTGTGAAACTGACTCAACACACATTAAAAGCTCAACTTAACTTAAAAGGTGAAACTAACTCAACACACTTTAAAAACCTAACTTAACCTAAAACGTTACCCTATTGGGTTTTGAGTCTTTATATATATATATATATATCACTTTACATTCTCATCCACTTTGTATGTAGAACAACACAGACGTGCACTTTTCTCAACAATCTCCCTCTCATGTGTGTGTTCACCAAACTCCCTCTTGAATCAAAGTTTCTAGTAGACGGTACATCAAATGCTCGTCCAAACCGGAGCCAACTCGAGCATGAAAAAGAGAGTCGAAACCATGCGAGTCCTCCACCATCTGCACCTGCAACAGCAACCGAGTATGATTACTTGACTCATACGAACTATCAGCTCTGATACCACTTGTTGGAGAGACTCAACATGTGAAATTGGCCCAACACAGTCTCCCTAACACTACTCTACTAACTCTAATCTCAACTATGTTATATTAACTTACGTAGTAACATAAAGTTGTCATCTTTTCACTTATAATTATAATCACTTATTATTAATTGATATAACAATCTTTTAGGGTGTTATGATTCGAATCATAATTTGTGATTCGTTATATTATTTTTTTTTATAAAAAATACACGTAAAACAAAAATAATTTTAAATCATAATTTTAAATGTGATCCGTCCTCTTAAATAACTACTAATAAACAACTCATATGGTACGTCAGAATGACAGAGAGTCCGGTCCATATTTTGTAAATTTTACATATGATAACACAAGCAACATCAAACAGTTCATAAATAATAGTGCTTTTCACAGAGATGAAAATGGAAACAAATGAAATAGAAATGTTGTGGGGCTTCGTAAAGCCTCAACTTCGAAAGACAGAGATGGCCCCACCCGGAGCCCGCTCAATGAATTTTTTGCTGAATAGCCCCCGCTCAATGAATTTTTTGCTGAATAACCCGCTCAATGAATTAATACAGATTATCTGAATCTATCAAATATTTTCTTTCTTAAAAATAATATATATAAATCTACCAAATATTTTCCTCTCTCAAGTAGACGTTGGAGAGTCTCCTATTGACCGTGGAATCTTTCTTCTTTTTCTTGAAGTGTTTGGATGCAGCTTTAAGCACCTTATTCCAAACCTGAAGAAATAACTTTAATCAAACAACACAAAGACGAGTAACATAAAGTTATCTGATGGGACGGGTAACAAAAACTTACATGAAATTCATGTTTTTTTTTTTTTTTTTTTTATCTCTTCTAATCATTCCTTATCATTTTTCAAATGGGTATAACTTAGATTCAGTGTTCCAAATTTCTTCACTTCGCTCAATGAGATTTACTCCAACTAAAACAAAATAAATAAATAAAACGGAAACAAATCAATAGCTCAAATAGAACAGAGGCTCATGTACCTTTTTGGTAACAGGGTTACAAGCACCCTTGAACGACGGACTTGGAGAGAAATCCGAAACAATCTTCTTCTTCTTCTTCTTTTTAGTTTTCAAAGCACTCAGATTCACCGCAAAAGCAGTGGTTCTGATCCTCTTCTTAATGTTGGAAGTGACTTTGTTGAGGCTACGATTTTCATTGCCCACCTCAAAATCGAGCTTCCTCAGCGTAGCGAAATCCAAATCGGACTCAAAATCCATGGATTTGTAAGCTTGAGGGACCAAAGGAGACCATATTGAGCTCTGAGAATAGTCGAAATCGAAAGCCGAGTTGTCCGGGAACTTGCAGAGAAGTTCCTTGGACATCACTGGCTCCAAATACTCCACTACTTTTGCACTGCCAAAGTCCATACCCACAACCTTAATTCTTCTCTTGTTTTTGTTCGAAAGCTAAGATGTTTTTTTTTTTTCCTTTTCTCGTCACGGTTTGGTCTAGTTTTTGGTCTCATGTTTTTAAGCGCAGCAAAGGGAAAGAACAAGACACGAAAAGTTACCGTTGGAACTGGGTTGATGTTTTTTTTCATAAAAAAAAAAAGTTGCGATCTTGACTAGTTTGTTATTATCTGGCATATAAATGTGAAACGACGGATTTGTCCGTCGTTTTTTGACTTGTCTATTCTGTTTTATTCCAGTTTTACCCTTCCTTTGCTTATTGTTGACTCTCGTAACCATCTGCCCTTTATTTTTTTTTTTTTTTAGTTTTCTACATTTTGCACATTTATCCTCTAAACTTGTAGAATTTTAGCAACTTACCCCTAGAGTTCCAATTTTATTAAAGCTGTTTTAATGTGCCCTATTCTACTAAGTTCTTATTTAAGTCTCAACTCAAGTTCTATTATTATAATATTTTTTCTCACAGAAATTCAAATTTATTTTATTAAAGCTGTTTTAATGTGCCCTATTCTACTAAGTTCTTATTTATTTCATAACTTAAGTCTCAACTCAAGTTCTATTATTATAATATTTTTTCTCACAGAAATTCAAATTCAACTTTTTTACTACAATGTTTTTATTCTCACGTACATAACTCAAGTTAGAAACTTGAGTTGTGAAACAAACACACTCTAATTTTGTTATGATATATTATCAGATTGTAGGGTAGAGAGTCCATAAATTGAGGGATTTTTGTAACAGGTTTGAATTAAAATGTTAGAACTTTTTGTTAAACATGTGTTTTTCTCACCAATTTAACACAATCATCATAAAAATAGAGCACATCACAACATTTTTGCTAATTGGGGTTCAAATTATAAAAAATTAAAAATTAAATTTAAAGAGTAAGTTGTCAAAGTTCTACAAGTCCAAAAGTGAATATGTAAAATGCCCGCAGTGCGTGTTTATAACTGTTAAATTTGTTCAAAATAAAATCAAAAAAATACAAAACTAACAAAATCTAGTAAATATTTAACTAGGAGTGAACAGGCGTACAATTTGATAATTTTCGGGTGCAACGTTGTGATGCAATACAGTTTTACAAAAAAGGCGGTTTGCGAAAAACCCAAACCAAGACCGACCATTCTAAATGTTAGGCGGAGCAGTTTGAGGCCGACAGTGAGCAGGCGGATGGTGTGCAGTCTGGGCCTAATTAAGTTTTTGTTGAAAAATGTCAAAAAAAAACTTTAAACTAATTTTGTTATATGTTTTTACTATATTATTATGACAATTAATATCGATTTATTAACTTTAACTAAAAAAGAATATCAAACAATAAAAAAGAATATCAAACAATCGTCATTATAGTCGATATTGCATAACGTATGCTTAATAGCACGTAATATAATTCGCAGGGCGGCTTGAAACTACAGTTTAGTAAGGTAGTGCAATTTTGATAAATTGCAGTTTGTGAAAAACCCAAACCATAATCGCCCATTATGCATGGTGGGGCGGGCGGTTTGAAAACGCAATTTGGCGATTTGATGATGGAGTACATGAACGATGTTGCAATGTGAACGAGGTGGGGAGGTTTGGCAGGTATTTTGTGCATCCTTAGATCTGACACTGTTTTTTCATACCTTATTTTAGAATTCTATTTTATTGTTAGAACTCTTACGGTTGGAACTGTATTTTTATCCCACCGATAGGTATTGCTATTTTAACTATTGGATCAACCTTTTAACGAACTGATCTGTGAGTGTCTATATTAAAAAGTTGAAGCACACAATACAAAACTATTTCTAATTATAGAATAGATCATTAAAAAGTTAATTCAACGATGAAAATAACAGTACTTATTAGTAGGGTTAAATTTCAATTCCTATCCTAAGTTTTGTCATGTTTTTAATGAAAATGCTATTTAGATTGAATCATATTTTACATAGAATTTTTCAAGTAGCAATTGAAAAAATGAATTATCGAAAAATTTCTATATATTTTTTTAATTTAATATAATTTTGACCATATATAATAATTAAAATTGACTCTATCAATAGAATTACTCTTTAAAAAAAAACTCCTTATTTAATAATATTTGGTTGTGCAATGAAAAGGCTTTTTTCCCTCGACAGATTGTGATGAGATCCGATCCATTAGATATATATTTAACATACGAGTACATGACAGTGTACGATTAGTTAAAAATCTAAGAATAAATAGGAATTTATAGAGTCGGATTTGAAATGGGTAATGCAGGTTGGTTTGGTAATGAAGTACCGAGTTCACGTAGTTTATGAACTTCACAAGCAGTTGCAGTGCAATTTATATCGAGGCATGTATTTACATCGACAAAAACAGAAAGAAAATGTTTATCGTTCGGGGGAAAAAAAAACTAGGAGAAGAAATAAAAAGACAGAGGAAATACTTCAAATTTGTCTGCTGTTTTTGTTTTGAAAAATTGGCTGATTAATAATTGATTTCCTCATTAAAATCATTTTGCACTACCTATGTACGTGTAAACATGCACACGTATTTTTCAAGGGATATTTTTTTTAAAGGCAAAACTCTTTCACATTAAACATGAGTATTTTTTTTGTTTCTTTTTGAGAAAAGACAAAAGACAAGAAAATCAAGACGAAATTAATCAGGACGAAAAGGTTACCGTTAGAGATGTGTAACTTTTAGTACTGGGCATAGTAGCCCGAGTTGATAATTTAGACAGCGACACAACTATACGATTTAAAATTTATATAAAATTAATGAGTTTAAGTTTATTATAAATAAGTTTAGGTTATAATCGGGTTGACACAATTAACATAATTAATAAGTGAGTTAGGTTAGGGTTGACTTCCTAACACGAAGTGACACGAATTGACACGATTAACTACATGTGTTATCTGCACTCTAATGATATGTGATATAACATGAAAGTTTATATGACATATTAAATACAAATAATGTGAATTTTAATATTTGTAGGCAAAATTCATTTATTTTTCTGAAAGGAAAAGATAAATTGACCAATAAACATGTTAAACCTATCTTGACCGTGTTAAATAAGTCATTATTGTATTAGTTATTTATTCAATATATTAATTTAAATGAGTTATACGAATTGACACGATTAATACGATTAATATATGGGTCGTGTTTGGGTTGATATTTTTGACACGTTTAATAAACATAACGTGCTTGAGTTGATGTTTTCTGACACGATCAATAAACGAGTTGACACGAACGCGACCCACTAACATGAATTGCCACCCTTAATAGCCACCACATAATCGTAAATAATTGTAAATTAATAAAATACACAACCCATATAAGATAAGACTATGTATTTATTATATATTAAAAGAAAAAATTTATGATGGAGTATGCTATTTTGTTCTATTGGTGAAAATTTTATTTTATCGTTAAAATAATTTTTTAACAATCATATATGCAGTAAAAACAGTTTTATATCGCGTTTTATAAATTTTTAACACAGACGTGTAAATATTTAATCATTAAAAAACTAATTCAACTAAAATTATTTGTTTCCAACGGTAAAGCAAAATAGCATGCTTTGCCGGTAAGATCTCCAATAGAAATATCTATTTGTTTTTAAATCTGCACCATCAGTTTGAGAAGCATGTGTACTTCGTAGCATAATTAAACATTCGTCTTACCAATGGGGTTTTAAGTTCACCCACAAGGTTAAAAAAAAAAAAAAAAAAAAACATATTTTGATGACATAAAATTTAGGTGCTTAATTATTTATGTAACACCTATATGCGTATATAATACGAATACTTATGCAAAATTGCTAGCTATTACTGTTGTATGGTGACACAGAATTGTCTGGCTTACTCAATGTTATTATGACTTGATTGCATAGACATAGTAAGTGGTTTTTGGATATCTGGCCACTGTAAAAATTGTTAATTCTAATGTCTTTCCCCTAGATTTTTCTATGAAGAATAATATGCACGTAATAATACATATATTTAGAAAACAAAATAGTGACCCATTTTATAATATTATACTTTTCCATACAAGTACATTATAAATAAATAAAACTATACACGCTCTCTGCGTTTTTTCCATACAAATACATTATAAATAAATGAAACTCACGTGTTCTCTGCATTTTTTCCATACAAGTATATTATAAATAAATGAAACTCACGCACTCTCTGTGTATCAAAAAAGATAAACTAACATGACTATATGCATTGTATGGAAGGGTGTGAAATTACATAATAACGAAATTTTGAATTGAAATTACCTTATAAGTGAATCTTAAGATTTTGCATTGTCGATTACCATCTAAAGCAATTTAAAATCAACAAGAGAGGGGGAAATCTAAAGAAAATTACTTTGAAGTCTCAAAAATGGCTTCTTCACCAGAGTAACTCATCTCTAACAAAGCTCATGGAAACCCATTAGTTAACATAGATGTTATAGCAACCAATATTTGTGTATAAATCTTGGCCAGGGAATAAAATAAATGGTGGAGGAAACTCTTCGTCAAATGGGGAAGGACAAAGCAGGGGAATTAGAGAAGTGAACATTAGCCAAATGGCCCAAAACAAGAAGATAATGTTAGGAAAAAATAAAGACAATACAAAGAAGAACAACAACATATGGAAGAACAAAATATAGAAATAGTTACAACACGAATTCAATCTTTCTACCAAATTTGAGAACAAATTGCAAAAATGTGGAGGCACGTGAACCACGCTTTCTCTGAAACAGATTTGTCTCATCCGGCAAGTGCTTGAGATAACGTTGAACGTTCGTCTCTCAGGATATAATGACAACGACGGTAGTACGACGCATTATTGAAACCGTCTCAGCGAACTAGAATTGTACCTTTCTTTTTATCACAAAAAACACACAACAAAAGAAAACTGCACAAAGAACTCGAAACTAGGAAGAAGCTCTGGAGAGAGGGGAAGAGAATACACGAAAATTGTTGTATTTGTTCATGTGGAGTATGGCCTTTATATAAGTTCTAAAATCCGGGTGGTACACCATGACATTATGGTGTATAAATCCGGATTACAACCCCTGATGAACCTACTCCAAGGTATGTCTTCAGGCAATAATGCTGCAGTTTTTTGAAATCCTACACTAATGCAGAGTTAATCATCCACTAAAGCAGCATTTTCGGATTTCAGGTGGAAAAAATAAAAAGAAAATTGCAAAACAAAGCTCATATGTAACAGGTTTGCCGGTCCAACACTTGTATGCTCAAATTGCGGGCGCACACATTGGGCCCTTAACCCGTTGGGACAATGATTTGCACCCACCCCCTCTATGCGTGAACGAGCATTTTTAGTATATATGCTTACTTAGGCAACAAAGTGCAATCACTTATAAACACCACCAAGGCTTCATTTCTAGCCAATGTGGGATTTTCGCAATTTTCAACTACATTAATCACTCCAAGTGACATACTTAGAACATTAATTTCACATTAACCCAATATCTATTTTGAGTGTATGAATAATCGATTTCGATCTCCTTGCGATGGAGAACGCAAATCCATCAAGACTTGTCCTAAAATCCAATTGCACCCCTTTCTAAAATGGGCCTCAAAATGGGCCTTTAATATGGCTTAACAAGCCATTTTCCAACAGATAACACTCGTTCCTTCTGATAATTTGTCAAGTATCTGATGTATGCAAGTAAGTAGATAAAAGAAATTTCAATCTACTACCAACAAGAAGAAATGAATTCAAGGCCGATAGTAAATTTAGGCAAAACATCATTCAATCACTAACTTAAGGACTTTGGTCCCAAACAAGGTGAACTACAAATGCATAACTGGTCATGAATCAAACAAAATTGTCAAAGCATTACAAAATTTTCCCCTCCCCACTCTTCTGCAAAGAAACATGCCTACTGTCTTATTCAATAACGAAATGAAACGCTCACTCAAATATCGAGAGGCACCCAGCGGCCAATCACATCCTCGATCAGCAAGTCCGATATTTCAGCAGTAGCTTTGTTGAACCAATAAACAGGTTCCTCTTCACCAATGGCTAAGATAGCCATCTTGTTTGTAGGCTCATTCCTGTGGATACTCACCCAGCGCACTTCACATCTCGGAAACTCATCTTGTAATGCACACGTTCACAAAGAAGTTGCTTCATTGTAGGAGATGCGGTATAATCAGGCCGTGCAGCATTTGAAACACGACGAACAATCTCCATCAATTTCAAGATACTCGACTCCTTGCTTAACGGCAATCTGAAGGCCATGTCTCAAAGCCATCAGCTCTGCTACAAATAGGTTCTCAGCATGTTCCACCGGTAGTGCACACGCAGATTTCAATATAGCATTTTCATCACGAAGAATGAAAGTAGCACCTCCAGTTCCTGTCTGGTGATCAGCAACAAACCCTGCAAAATTCAGTTTCCATGAAAAGGCAGTGGATGGAATCCATGCTACATGATAGGCGAGGATGCTACGGGTGGTGGATTTAAATGCTTTGGAAGAGCACGAGGGCAGATTCATGGCTATAAAGTAGACTGTTTAGTCGCAAACTGTACTGCCCCGATGGCCAATTTGAACGCCAAAAGCTAATTTATAGCCCGAGTAAGCTAAAATTTCTTCATCTCCTATTAGCAAGACTCCATTTGTAAACGACAGGAGGAAGATGACTCCTTTTGAGGCTATAGATGACAGGAACATCGCCAACTGTAACAAAATTTATTGTATGAACAACTGTAGAGTTTTTATTTTCTATTTTGATAGACGTATAAATTCCAGTCCAATTTTGCTAGATTACATTTATAATGATCTTACCAAAATCTAATTGTCAAGTATGAAAATCTATATATTGAGATTATCGATGGCAACGAGCCGTTGCCGGCACAACAAATCGAGCAATAACGCATTTACCATATAAAGCCTTAGCAGTCAAAGTAGCAACATACTGATTCTCTACTATTCAATTGGGCGTGGAAATGAAGTCTGGTTTATGTTTCCGGCAAATGATTTGGGTTAACCAAAAGGAGTGCTTGCCACTTACATAATATGCTATGATTTATGAGGCTTTAGAATCTGTTATTTGTTTTAAAGGTTTACGTTCTATGGGAAAATGTTCTAAAATGTTGACAACTTTTCAAGGCAAAATTAAGTGGAAAAAAGTGAATCTAAGGAAACAAAGTCGAGAAACTGGTTTGTTGGAACTCAACATGTTTTTGTATGGTATACATATCAAACCAGGAAGCAGAGTGACCTCTTCTAAAGCTTCAAAAATTCGAGTTGTAGGAAAGAAACCCTTTGTTAACCAACCTTAAAACTAAAGGCATGTACACTTAGCAAGCAATAATGCAACAATGTAAATGGGAAATAAGTTGACTATAACATATGACAATCTACATTGTCAAAGAAAATATTGAAGATACCATGTATCAATCGAAATTACTCTTGTTTAGATTAGAACGCAAAGGGAAGCAATAATGATAAAGAAGCAGAGAACACATGGAATATGTCATTACAAAATTCCAAAACCAAAACTCAACCCATAAAATTCTAGGTACACCATTATCATAGCATACGAATTAGAAATTCTTATCATAAGATCCAAATTTTTCTTCCCAAAAATAGGACTACATGATGCATATATGTCTTAAGTATTTGTTTTCTAGAAAGAACACTACACATTTTGGTATGAACATTCAGAGATTAAACAGAAAGATAAACATTGCCAATTGCGCAATATAAAAGGCTGGCAAATAACAATATTTTAGGAGGCCAAGTGCTAAATCACCTAACAATTTTGCATATATGTTATTCATTTTGTCTTGTAAAGCAATCCGTTTATTGGATAGAGTCTAACATGGTAATTTCTTCACTGTTCTAAGGAAGTGTTATCAGTAAGGTTTTGGAAAATTCAGTTACAAATCAAAGATAGAGAAGCTGCAATGGGAGAAAGTGGGAAGAGGAGTGTCTCTTTGAGTAGATATCAAGCAAAACAAAAGTGAAGAAAACAAAGAATTTCCTTATTTCTCTTCTAACAAGCAAGAATATATTCCCCACAGGCAACAAATAAAAATAAAAATAAATCACTTACCCACCTCTCTCTCTCTCAAGTCTTTATCCTCTCCATATTAAATAAACCCCACATATTTTTTACAATGTTTGAAGTGCAATAATAATATAATTGAAAAAGGAATCTCCTTTAGTTTCAGTAGTTGATGCCCCTCTTCTTCTTTAGTGTTAATTCCTAATTGTGAAAATCCACATCTACTCTCAAGCACCCAATACAGAATGGAGTCAAGAAGACAACAATATTATTGCACAACATTTTGGTTTTTCTACATTACAATCTCATCAACCATTCTGTTCCTTCAATGTGGTAAGTAAGATTTTTAAATTTTTTTTTTTTTTTTTCAGTTCTTCATCATAATTGCTAAGCTACACACTTGAAAAACTCTTCCAAACTTTTTGTTATTGTTTATTTTATTTTATTTTATCTTTCTTGTGGTGCAGATGCAAGAAAACATGCAGAGATATTCAATACCCAACAACACCATAAAAAGCTAGTTAGAAGTTACAATATAGGAATAGAAAAGGAAAATCACCTCTCCATTGAGCAGCCATTAGAGTTAAGCTCTCCTTTCTCACTGCCACCTTTTGATTCTCTCTCTCCTCAAAACTCTCCTCCATTTTTTGTCTACCCACCTTCAACTCCTCCAACTTCAAGCCATGCAAAACCAGAACCACCACCATCCGCATACTCTCCTCTCACTCCTTGGCCCAGCCCACCAAACCATTCTCCAAGCCCACCACCACCTGGTGGGCCACCACCAGAGCATAAAAGCCCACCACAACTCTACCCCCCACCGCCGCCGCCACGTGGAGCTGGTGGGTCACCACCTGAGCACAAAAGGCCACAGTTTGCAGTTTGGTGTGTTGCGAAGCCCACAGTGCCGGACTCCATCATGCAAGAGGCCGTGGACTATGCTTGTGCGACAGGAGCAGACTGCAAGCCGATTCAGCCCAATGGGCCCTGCTACCAGCCCAATACATTGCTGGCCCATGCTTCCTACGCATTCAACAGCTACTTCCAGAATAAAAAGCGCGCGGGAGGGACTTGTGATTTTGCAGGGACTGCCATGCTTGTCACGGACGATCCAAGTAAGTTTGGCCATGCACAAATTATGCATTATGCATAATTCCAATTACATTTTGTACCTCGTTTTTTGAAATTTTAGATTCCCAAAACGAAAATGATAGTAATATTTAGAACAGGTTGGAATTGTGTAGAAAATGGCATATTATTGTATGGTGAAAATTTTGTTTGTAGCTTCTGTAATACTAAATTGTTATGGGCCGTTTATGTTATGTAGACGTGGTAGAGAAACTTGTTCATGATATCCAAGCAAATGGACACATTTACCCACTTCTGGAAGTTATCGACAAGTTGTACACTTGTACTGTCTCTAGCTGATTCTGGACAAAATTTTCTTTTCTATTTTATACACCACTACAAGTGTAGAAAATAATTTAGGATTGATTTTTCCTTACTTTGATTTCGGAAAGTTTTCTCACGTTATGCATTTGATTTGATGTATTTAGTTTCCTGTTTTAATTATTTAATTAGCCTATAAATTGACTGACAATTTAGACTCTATTTTTTCCCCCCCTTTTTTTTTTTTTCTTTTTGAATTTGAGGATCGGGAGATTAATCTCTTCACTTATAACTTATAGTGTCAGGTATAAAATTACCATTAAATTATACTTATAACCATAATTCAAACTCTATTAATAAGTATAATTGAATAAGAGTTTTATATTATTTCTCCCTCATGGTTTCTTCTCTCTCTTTCTTTCTAAATCTCTTCTCACTTCTACTTTGTCTCTCTAATTTTACATCTCAACATTTCGTACATTTCAGAATTCAAAGCATTAAAAAACACATTTATAGGAGCTGAGAAAATCTTAATTAACAACATACACAAACTTTACTAATATTTTACCCAAATATATAGGTGGGGTTCAGTCAGTCCTAGCCTTCTAGATTAAATTTACCCAAAAATAAATAAATCTAGTTTAAGTTGGCTGTATACCAAATATATAGGTCCCCCAGCAAAAGAAGTAAATATTAGGAAAATTCATACACGTAGTATCCTTTAGGGGACAATGAAGTACAAATTTTTATACGCTTGGTCCTACATTCAACAAAAAATAAAATGAGGATATATATATATATATATATATCCAATCTCCACATTTCCTTCGCTATTAATTTTTTCTTTGGAAGTGGGGGTTTTCTTTTATTATTTTATCCTTCGCCACTTGATCACTCATTGAAACTTTTTCTCTTTCAAGTCCAATATTCTAACGATTTCACAATATCATACATTCTATGGCAGGTTTTGATGGATGCCTTTTCATCTACAACTAAAGAAGGCCAAAGACAATTCCCGATTTAGAGCGGAAAAAAGAAAAGGAAACGAGAGAAAAGATTTTCTCATTATACAAACTGACATTAGTTTTCTATATTATTGTCATTTTTGGGCTTGAAGTTGGAGTGGCAAATACTAAAGCAATATACGGTCTCTCTGTCTCTCTCAAACACGAGTACTTTACAATCATTGTATTACAATACACTGCTTAAAAGGCAACAACTAATATAATTGCGGTTTTGGCTATAGAATTAATTATTGCAGTGACTAACTTCTCTTCTTATTTCTTTCCCTTTATTAACAAGGAATATGCCTCTTGCGCGCATATGTACCAAACCTTTTTAGGTACTCTCTAGATATTTTCTTTCAAGAAAAAAATATGACCTTGATATTTTTGTGTTTTGTCTAAATTATAAGGGAGCTCTTTTGATATGAAAAAAAAAATGAATTATTAATAATTTTTTCTTTTCAATCGTCAGATTTATATAAAAAATTATCTATTATATATATTTTTTTAATTTAATATAATTTTAACATGATTTAATGATTAAAAATTAATACTATTAATAGAGTAGAGCAGGTCTACTAAAAAAACTCCCAAATTATAAAAAACATCTTTTTGATCAAAATATTTTATCTCAATAAATCCAACGAGTTGTTGAAATAAATTGTAAATATTTTAGGACATTATTCACTTCGCTGATTCTTTATCTCAATAAATCCAACGAGTTGTTGAAATAAATTGTAAATATTTTAAGACATTATTCACTTCGCTGATTTGAGTTTAGAATTCGAGTTTTTCTACATTAAAAAGTTCTTACATTTTTTCTTTGTTTTTATTCGTTAAAGTATTTTAAGGTCACATCATCCTGGGAAAAATCCACTTGGTCATTGGATTGAGTGGCTTTTGTCAATTTGGTTGTCTCCACATAACGGAATTATGATGTGTTTCTTTTTATTTGTCAAAAATAAATAATGATTCCGTTTGAGCTAACAAGGGATAAATAGCGCTGAACAGCCCAAGCCGGATGAACTACAAGGAACTTTGTCCGGTACATTAGTATAATATACTAATAGTTTAAATTTTGAATCTGTCGAATCTGTATAAAATTACATAAAAATTAAAAAATACACAGATTTAACGGTAAAAAAAATATAACATATCGAACGTACTAAAAAAATCTCTCATATTAATAATATCATTACAGTTTCTTTCTTTATTCTGGGGCTTTTTATAATGTATTTTTTAAAAGGTTACATCTAATTAAAATCATATAAAAAGTAGGGAAAAAAAACCTGCAAACTAAATAGAATCCCGATTACAGCTTAAAACAAAATCCATACTAATAATGTGTTTTTCATGTCGTAATATTTCTAGTTCACATGAAAATTTGTCTGTAAATTTGTAACACCCCGAAGAGTTAAATGAGATTAATTAAAGTAATTAAGATTTATTAGCGTGCTTAATCTAGTTTAATTAATTGGTTATTGATTAATAAATATTTTTGATGTGTAAAGTTGAATAATTCTAAGGTATTTAAATATTCTTAGTATTTACATTTTTACCTAGAAGTGTGTATGGACACATTTCTGGACTGTCATTTTAAATATTAGACACTTGTCGTTTCTTTTCTTTTTCTTTTTTCTTTTTCTTTCCTTTTCCTTTTCTTTCCTTTCTTTCCTTCCCGTGCATACTCTCTCTCTCACTCTCACTCTCTCGTTCTCTCACTCTCACTCTCTCGTTCTCTCACTCTCACTCTCTCGTTCTCTAACTCTCACTCCCTCTCTTCCATTTTTGTCTCAAATCAACCGGATCTTGAACCACGGAAGGATTTAAATAAGTTTTCAACGTCAAGAGAAGGATTTGAGGTAAGATTTCTGAAAAAACCCTCTATTGAATCTCAGATTTTGTATATTAGAAAACCTATTTTGGTTCAAAACGGATTTTGAGCAAAACCATGGTAGGAATTGGAGATCTTGGGTTCTTTGGACTTGATTCAGTACCTAGAACCCGAATATAGTGGTTTCCCTTTGAGATATCTCTATTTGGACTCAGATTTGCAGGTTTTTGGGTTGATTCCGCGGGTTTTGTCCGCCCTGCCGTTCTTCACAGGTCGACCTATGCGGTCGACCGGACTGCATTAAGTCCACCGGTCGACCTATGCGGTTGACCGAATTGCACACCACCGGTCGACCGGTGGTGTTGCACTGCGCTGTCACCGGTCGACCGGTGTACACGGGTTTTACCCTGTTTTGTCGAAAAACCCTGTTTTGACCTCAGTTTTCAAGGAGGACCCAAATTAGCTTCATTTGGGGACCTAGAGTGAATGAATCAGCTTCTTAAATCCATGTTTTGAGATTAAAAATTCTTGGAATGATAATTTGAAACATGAAATGGGTTGTGAAACCAGTAATTGAATTATGACACACTAATAGGAAATCAAATTATATAATTAAGATTGAATTACTTTATGAATGAGAATTGGATCCTAAAGTGTTGTTTTGTATCAGTGCTAGCTGAGGACTCAGATTGAGAGGCTTTGAGGAAGCGAAAGCCGGAATAGTGTAACGTTAGCCAGGTTTGGTTCTTGTGAGGTAGGATTTCTTATCCCTTTCTTTGTGAGCCTGTTTTCAAAGAGTTTTGGCATTGCAAATGTTTTAAAGAAAGGGAATGTTTGCGAAAGCATGTTTAAAAACAATAGCTTGATTTTAGCTGTTGGAAGTATAATGAACTGTTTTATAAATTAGTTTAATGAATGATTTCTTAAGACAAGAGATCTTGTGAATCGGTAAACCGGCTGATGGCCTAAATATGATGATGTGGAGAGTGTATCCTTGGGGGCAGAACCCAAAACCCGGCCCGGGGGTGATTAGACTTGTGCACGTGGTTGTGTAAGTAATTTATTATAGTATAAATTACTTGCTGATGCCTGTAATATGGAGATTTTCAGTTATATTTCCTTTGAGAAAAGGACGTGAGGTTCCGGCTGTTGTGTTGGAACTGAATGTCTTATTTATTCATTATTTATTTATTTACTTGCTTACCCATTTATTTATTTAATTATGAAGTTATTATAAAATATATCCTACTGGGCCTTTCGCTCACGTTTTATTGTTTTATAAATGTTAAACTCCTCCTAAGCGACTCTAGGAGCAGTGCAGAGTAGCTGAGTTGCTACCACCCGATTAAGAGAGGATTGTGTTCATCCTCCTGGTGTACGAATGTATGAATTTATAAATTCTGTAAACTCTGATATTTGGATATCTAGACTGTGGTTGATGTTTGTAATGTTATTTACACGTGTCATGTATGTACAATACTGAAAGATCATGTGGATAGATCCTGTGGGTGTAGCCCTGAACAGTGTTAGAGGCGGGAGTTTTAGCCTCTTGAGATGTTCTTGTAATTTAATTTCAATAAAATGTGGGGCTCGTTTGGAAATTTTTTTAATATTTTATTCTTAATCATGTTTAACTTCTAATCGAGCCTCCACGTCACTGACCCCTGTCCCGGGGCGTGACAAAATTTGGCAAGTGGAGTCAACTGCAGACAAAGATTACCTTTTTACAAAACGTGCTCTACTTATTATTTTCTCTTTTTTTTTTTTTTTTTTTTTAACTTAACCAAACCCTTAAAAGAATTTGAGAAAATTAAAAGAATAACCATTGCTTTTTATCATCATATAGTATTTATGCTATTAAAGAGTATTCAAGTAAAATATAAAAATATTTTGCCAGGAAAAAATTTTGATCGAATAATATAAAAAATATTCTATCAGAATATTAATAATACATAAATTTAAAATTAATGAAAAAATATTTTGCCAGGAAAAAATTTTGATCGAATAATATAAAAAAAATATTCTATCAGAATATTAATAATACATAAATTTAAAATTAATGACGAAAATAAAGTAGTGTTATATTTTTATAGCATTATTAGAAAATCTCCCAAAAAAAAAAAAATTTCATTCATGTTTTCAAAAATTAGTACAGTAATAAAATAAAGCTAAAACGGGTCTCTTTTGCAAAACACACCCAAGAGTTACCACGCGGTAAATGTATTGTAGTTTTGTAGTCAAGAAAAGAATCAATCATAATTGATGAATCTAGCGGACAAGGGAAACCGGGCAAGCAATAGAGTATGAATTGTTTCCCGTTAACTAACTATTTTAAAATTTATGATGGTAGTATTACCTCCTCCTTAGAGCTCTTATATGGAGGACCAGTTTGTAGATTCTGTTTATTCTATTTCGATGTTTTATCCAAAAACTACTAATATAAAACTGGAGAGATGAAGAGTAGATCAATTGACGTACAAAGTTGGAGGGCTGTAATCAAACAAGAAATTTAACATCTTTCCTTCTCTTTTCCCTCTAACCAAACAAGCTCTTAAATAGAAAAATTATCGTGACTACAAGTAAATTGACTATATACCATACGTACCGCGAACCATTAGAATTTGCCTTGCCTGTATAGCGGCCAATAGTATCTTTAATTTATTTAACTAGATCTTTTAGTTTACTGTAATTATTTAAAGAATCCCACACTACTAAATTTTAAGGCACGGAAGTACGTAGGGAGAGCTTTTACTTTATCTAGCTAGGGAACTTATACTAAGAATATTATTGAACAGCTTTGTTATGTGGATTATTTCCAAATGTGTAAACACCTGAAAATAATAAAGGCCGAAGGAATTTTGTGACTTCAAATGGATCTTTAAATCAAAAACAAAATGTGTGGGGACAGCCGACATACTCTATCTTTCTTAAATTGAAACAAAGATGTCCAGTTCGAGTTGCGTGATGGTCACATGCAATATCCAAATTACCACCTCTGGTTTACCTGGTCGGACAAAGATTTATTATTAGTGTATTGTATTATAGCGATTTGGGTGGAAAATTTTATCAGAAATGTGTGGTGAGGATTGAAGGGAATTTGATAAGTTACTTTCAAATTAATCTTTTCTATACAGAAACAAATTGTGTAGGGACGTCTCAGCTTTACTCTGAGGATGTACAAATTCCAAAACCATATAATATGTCACTTCACCAGCTGTGGTCTTTTTTTTTTTTTTTTTTTTTTTTTTTTTGTGTGTGTGTGAAGATGTTCTAAGAATGCTAAAATTACAGCATAATGTCATTTTTGACGTGCTTATAACGACAGATATATATGTTTTCTACGATAACATATGGCTAATCAATCTTCTTTTTAAAATGGGGGGCCCGATGTATTTACACTTGTTTGATGAATACAGTTTCTAAAATTGGGATTGGCACACGTATATTGGCCGCATGCGGAAATTGCATATAAAATTAACCACCGGTTTCTCAGATACATCATGTGTGTGTGTGTGTGGCAGATTTATGCATGTATACACGATGTAGATAGATGTGCATATACACGGGCAAAAACACATATATATGAGAACGTACACATGTATGGCATATATTCATGTATATCCGACGACCACGGCGAACAGACGAAGGCTGTCTGTATATTTTTTTTGGAACTAAGTGATCAAATTTCAGCAGGAAGACAACAAAGTTAAGGAGTTGAAAGGCTGCATATAATCATTAAATATTTAAGAAGACTTAGAGCTAGATTAAACTCAAAAAGAATAAAAAAAAACTTAGGCCTCGTTCGCTTCGCAGATTCGAGTTTGCAATTTGAGTTGAGATGTGACATTTTTTAAGAGTTTTTAATTGTAGCATAAAAAGTTAAATGTGACATTTTCTGAGAGCTTTTAACTATAAAAACTTAGAACTGAAAACTCGAATCAATGAAATGAACGATGCCTTAGAAATTAATACAGTTTCCTAGATAGAGAAATCTACAAATTCTGACCTTTCGGTACGTTTGAAAGTACTCAATTAGTAGTAGGATTCAGAACTGAATTATTAAATTTTCATATTCTAATGTAATTATAATGTAACAAGTTTTAATTTCTATTCTATTAGCAAGTATTACTTTAGTATTTCCAAAAAAATAAAAGATATTTAAGTACTATATATTGGCATGTGCAGCAGTTAACTATTAGCTCCTTAGTTGCTGTACTATATGTATATATGAAATTCTATATATGCAGATATAAGGAAAGTTCCTACATGTTTTTTTGTGCGTGTATTTATTATGTGTTTATATATATATATATATATATATATATATATGCTTAACATATATCATCTTCATGAGTTTCGGCTTGAAAAGAAGGAGAAACACGACAAAAAGGATATATATACTCATTAAAAAAAAAAAAATCTTTGCAAAAATGACCTTCTTTCCTTTGCCACAGGAAGCTGCACCGCATTGCATACTCAAATTGTAAGTGACCTTAATTAAATATTGTATTAAGATTGCAGTGATGATCTTGTGAGGTTCGTGGGTGGTCCATCTGAAATATACATATTCGCCATAGAGGATAAGTGTTTGATCGTTAGTTTTCCTAGCTTGAATATGAATACATATGTATTAATATGCGTCTGCCCCCACATAAGGAACCACTTCAGTACGTGGAGCTAGCTTATGCATGAGAGCGCATGTGGCAAAACATAAGTAGAACAAGCAATATGCTCGGTAATATCTGATTAAAAATTTAAAAAAATTTGTGTGACCGACACTCTAGTTACACTAGAGAGAAGAAAATGATTGACTAGTCATTTTTCACGGATTTTTCTCTTTATCTTTACAAGATAATTGAAAGGAGAAAAAAAAAAGAATCTTTAGGGGATCAATCTTTGTCACCTTGTAGAGTGATCTATATACATATATATATATAAAGATTATTTATTTCCTTAAAAAATTAAAAAAAGATTTTATATTATGCTAGTGAAAGCTTCACATGTAAGGGTTTTAGACCTCTTTACCCCTATCACGGGCTCAACAGCCGCTACATGTTAAAAATCTTATCAATCGAAAACCGCGTTTCTTCGATTGTCTTGTCCAAGATGGAGAAAATACTTGCTAAAGCCTAAAAATAATTTATTTTGTAGTGCCCATATTACTCGCAAGTTGTGTAATTGTCCACCCCAATTTTAAGAGAAATTGACTCTTATGTTAAGAGAACGTGAGAGAGAGAGGAGTAGACGCGGTGTCCCTTAAGTCAATTATTAACGACAATCTTTAATAAAAGAAAGATTTTAATACTACCAACAAAGACAAACCGCCATTATTGAATTGAGCAGTACTGCCACGGGAGTATGGACAATGGTTTGTACACACTATGGATTGTTACACCGAGATTTCGTTTTTTTATTTTTTTTATTTATTTTTATTTTTTCAAAACACAAAGATCATCAATTAATTTAAATTTATTGTACAAATATAACACTTAAATGCATGAATCTTGATTGCCACTTAGACTCATGCATTTCTGTATCTATAAAAAGGTCATCCCAAGACATGAGGTCTCAACAACATACTCACTAGCTCAACTCTTCTCTCCATCGAAGGGTGGTGTGGATTAATTCTTGAGCCACACAATGGGGAAGTACGCACTAGTGACAACATTTGTCCTCCTCTTGAACTTAGGTGCATTGCTCACTTCTCTAGCTAACTCCTACTGTCCTCCTCCTCAATACCCTCCCAAATTCCCACCCAAACATCCCCCCAAAGTGAAGCCCCCATTCCACCCTCAGCCCCCCAAACACCCTCCCCATGTCAAACCCCCCAAGCCCCCCGCCGTCAAGCCCTCTCCGCCTTACGTCCCCAAACCGCCCATCGTCCACCCTCCTTACATACCTAAACCCCCTGTCGTACACCCTCCACAACATCCCAAACCACCTCCCTACACCCCAAAACCGCCAGTCGTAACACCACCACCGTACATTCCAAAACCACCGGTCGTGACACCACCACCGTACGTCCCAAAACCGCCAGTCGTGACGCCACCACCGTACACTCCCAAACCACCGGTCGTGACACCTCCTCCGTACGTGCCGACTCCACCGGTGGTTAAGCCTCCGCCAAGTACGCCAGCGCCGGTGGTACCTAAACCTAGTCCACCAAGCGAGACACCGTGCCCACCGCCGCCGCCGTCGCCGTCGCCGCCGCCGCCGCCGCGGACGTGTCCCATCGACACGCTGAAACTCGGCGCATGCGTGGATGTTCTCGGCGGCCTCATCCACATCGGGATCGGCAGCAGCGCCAAGGACACCTGCTGTCCGGTGCTGCAGGGACTGGTGGGCTTGGACGCCGCGCTCTGCCTCTGCACCACCATTAAAGCTAAGCTTCTCAACATCAATATTATCCTTCCCATTGCTCTTCAGCTTATCGTTGACTGTGGTAAGACTGCTCCGCCAGGGTTCCAGTGTCCCGCATAGGAATGAGTAACGTACTTACACAACTTGGTTGGATATTAAACAAAAAAAAAGTTTATCAATTAGTGGCTTTTATCAATTAGGACGTGTTAATAACTTGTGTGTCATGATCGAAGAAGAATAATACAAGCTTGTGGTAGAAAGGACTAAATAAGCTGCATAATTTCTTGGATCGTTTTGTTTATGTTTTTCTGAGGTTTATGAATATTAATGTCACAACAATATCTCACTGAATATCGATCGGATCGGTATGCTTTGGGAAATCAGTGCCTCTGTAATTGAAATATTGTACGTCAACATGTTTTCCTTGTTTGCAACTGTATTTTTCACCTTAACGTATAGCTCACTTTTCGAGACTAAATTATTACGTAAGTGATTTTGGCTAACGCTGGGTAGATCGTTCTCTTTCTTCTCTGTATGGCACGTGAATATCTGTCTGAATTATTTTGACTGCATTCCTTTGTCGATTCTCTAATTAGGAATAAAGTTAGCTACCTGTATCAACGCCATCATATCGACCACTATTACACGTACATAATATTAACCTATAATCATTTTTCTTTGAAAAAAAAAAAAAAAGAAATTGTAGAAATATATGTGTAGGTATATATACTTCGATGTAGATATATATTGGGAGAATCAACTTTTATATCTTTTTATTCGTGTTCTTTTCCACGTCTTTTTAATAATGTAATATCATTTCAATTAAAATTTCATATCAAGTTAATTAAAAAGTCATTATAATTAATTAAGATGTCAAGATCTTAAAATTGACACGAAAAGATCACAAAAAAAAAGACATATATGAGCTCAATTCTACACATGGTAGTGATAGGAATTTAATAGCAACACACTTTGAAAAAATTATCAAAAGCACACCAAAAATTAATGGGTAAACGCTTGCAAAATTTGGAGTGACAAAATCATTAAAATCTGCAATTGTGTGTGGGGGTCAAAAGAGGCCAGCACCTCTGTAAGTGAATATCAACAGCATATATGATCATTTATTAGTGAAAGTATATATCACATAATGGAATATTAGGAGTTGACGAGTGCCAGAATAATAATAATAATAATAATAACCCAAATGGATAATAATTTATGCTAAATAAGCTATAAAGCAATTATTCACGCTTTTGGCTCTTTTTTCTCTTTTATTAACGATTGTCTGGTATATCATATGAGGATATTTTTTCACACGCACACACATATATATATGAAGTTTAAAGTCATGTGATAACCCACGTGCCTCAAGAAATCCCTAATAAAATACTGTATCTAGAAGGGCGATGTAAATACTCACAAGAAGGGGATTATGATGATGGGTCTTGAGAGGAGACCCTTGATATTTTAGTAGGTAAATTAACGCTTCAAATGGTAAAAGAATCATCCAATGCTTTAAAAGATAAATTATTATCAGTCATACTTATTATTTGACTACCCACCACGAATGAAACTTGACTAAAACTACCTAGGTTGAGTTATTAATGTAAGATGGATAAAAGAAAAAGGGCGGGTTCTAGGATTTTTTATTTTTATTTTTGCTCAAAAAGGGCGAGTTGTAGTTATATAATCTAAAAACAATTTGTGTATATATTTCACAAGAAGGTAAAACAAAAGTACTGGACGAGAAAGTAACAAGAAGACATGGAAAAGAAGGGTATAGTTTAAAAAATTTACCAAGATAGCATATGAATTATTTGCAAGATGGAAATGAATGTGGGACAGATATTTGAATTCGAGTATTTGGAAAAAAAAAAGCAGCCAAATATTTGATGGAAGAACGGGAATCGTTTTAAGCAATCTGTTGTAGTATAAAAGCTTTATATTTTGAAATTAATTTATTAAGTTGATAATAAAATATATTGACGTTGGAGGCTTCCAGCGAACACTATCCACTTGTTACGCAACCGTCCTTGAAGGAAACCTAGAAAGAAAATGAGTAACGAATAACTAGTTGCTCGAGTATTTTCATCTGTCCAAATGATAATCACTCATTTTCCATTTATTATTTTGTGGAATGTCGTACTATTACTATGATCGATGAATTTGTTTTAAGAGTAGAACTCAGAATCCAAACAGGTTGAAATTAAACTACACATGACGTGGAAAAGTAATTAAGATGTGCTCGTCAAGTTGGACTTGCAGTATGCGGTTTATAATATACAAGAAATGCCACAGTCAGTATTAAACACTATCACTAATAGAAGATAATTAATGAGCCTTATCTGTGAGTGAATTCCACAATGTAAAATCCACTTATTATTAATAGATGATAACATCACCGGTGCCCTATAACATTACTCCAGTACCCAATTATAGCGTGGATTTGTCTTCATAATATAGCAACGAAACAATTGTAACTAATTAAATTGAAATTAAAGTTACGCAAATCTACTGGGCCATGAACGACTACGGTAGCGCGTTAACCATTGGGTGAGAATATTGCATAAAAGTATTACTCACACTAAGATTGGAAATCCAATAAATATATATATATATATATATATATATATATTAGTCTCCGTCATCTAACAAAAAATCATTTAAAATTCAGCCAATTAAATCCATCGAATTACGATAATTTAAGGCCCGTTTAATTCACTGATTCGAGTTTTTAATTTAAATTAAGATGTGACTTTATCTGAGAGCTTTTTACTGTAGCAAAAAAGTTAGATATAACTATTTCTGAGAGCCTTTTACTATATCAAAACTTGAATCGGTGAAATAAACATGACCTATCCAATCCAATCCTATTGGATTAAGGAAAACGTATTAAATTTCACCAAACTTGCTCAAAATGACAAATTTACACATTTTCAGAACACAAACGTAATTTTCCATCATTCATTGTTTCATAAACATAAAACCAAAATCATCCAACAAAATTAATAAAAGATGTTACGGACTCAAGATGGACGATGTGGGCAGGCTCGACGAGGGGCGGTGGCTTGTGAGGATTCAGTAGCATGTGACCGAGGCACGAAATAGGAGATGTGCATCAAACAATCTAAACCAATAAAACAGGTTAGACCAAATCAAACTCAGTTTGATTTGGTTTGCATTTTTAAAAAACCAATTAAGTTGGTTTAGTTTATGATTTAACTTTAAAAAAAAACCTTTTTTGCTACAGTAAAAAGCTCTCACATACAATCACATCTCAACTCAAATTCTAAACTCGAATCATCGAAACGAACGAGGCCTTAACCAATAAAACAGGTTAGACCAAATCAAACTCAGTTTGATTTGGTTTGCATTTATAAAAAACCAATTAAGTTGGTTTCGTTTATGATTTAACTTTTAAAAAAAACCAAATCAAACGAAATCAACTTTTATTTGTATATATTTTGAGAAATTGTATATATTCTACATTTGTCAAGATATAATTGACTGTTTTTAGTGTATGTTACAATGTTTTATTATTTTATTTTTAGACCAATTTGTAGGTATGTTTTATCTGACAGATTTAAATATTTTATTTTTGCAATAATGATTAATTTCTAACATTAGACATTTTATTTCTGATATGAGTTGAGTATTGATTTCGATATTCTCACTCTCTTCCCCCTCTTTTTATCTTTTTTTTTTGCTAATCCCCCTCATTTATCTTTGTTCTTTCTTCCTCCCTATTATTTCGTATCCTCCCTCTTTCTGCTTCAACACTCACTACAGATAGGAAATGACGGTCACTCGTCAGTGACTCTCCTGCGCTGCAATGAAGACAATCTCATATGGCAAGGGCGGTGGTTCCCCAATCTCCCTCCCCAGATCTAATGCCAGAGGTGACCACAGCTCTCCACTCATTGCGTTGCTTTCTCCATGAGGAGCTCAGCTTCTCTGGTAAATCTTCACCACAACAAGAAGGAACTTGACTTCTTCAAGCGAATCTTCGTCGTAGCCGTGTGGAGCTTGGATTCCCCTACGGGTCTTAACTTACAGCAATTTGTCTCTTGAGGACCTTGAGGTGCTGCAAACGCAGAGCCGCACCACCTTGTCGAAAGGAGGCACCATCACTGCACAGAGCTCGATTGTGCAGCTCTCACGGTGCCACAAGAGAGAGATTTGTACTTCTAGTGATGATTAATGGAGTTTCTGAAGGCGTTACTTCACCTATTGGAAAACATGTCGTGATGCCACTTGTTCTAAAGGTAGCCCCAGCACGTCGTCCTGACCCCGACGATAGTCCCAACCACCTCGACACTGGACCCGACGCCAACATCAATTCTTGCCTGTCGGCCAGACCCCAATGGCCGATGGCGGCCCTGGCATTGTTTTAGGCCCCATTTTTTGTTTTTAATTTACCAAAACGAAAAATGGGACCTAACTAAATGAAGACGGGGAGCATCTCTCACTTTCCCATTCATAACTAAAAATAGCTCTCACATTTATATTAAGTAAACTAATTCAAGCCTATAGTGTCTAGACATGAAACTAGTACGACAAATCAACGCCTACATGACAATTAAAATATATATATATATATATATATATTTTGACTGGTTAAAGGATAATAAATGTAAGTCATAGAATCCATATAACACAATCCATTGCGGTTCCAGTTTCTAGACTTGAATTCCTGGCAAGACTCGAAATGGGCCATCTCATACCTCATGAATTGCCATTGAGAACGTCGTTTTTTTTTTTTTTTGGATAGGCAAACTGTAGAATACTTAACACTCCCCACAATGAATTTATTCATGGATCCAAGGGAGAATACGTTCAATGGAATAATTTCTTAACATATTGCTGCATCCCCAAGGATTAGGCCCACTTTTTACTAAACTGGTTCAAAAAGGAAGCTATCCCTTCGCAGACCCATGCAATAAATATTATGAGCCAGAACTGTCATGAACCATATAAAGGTTACCCTAAAAGAAATAGGAAAAAAAAAAAAAAAAGAGGTTCAAGCAAGTGAAGTTGAGTTTTGAGACCATATTGCTGACTGTCAATATGATTCGTATGGTATAAAATCCCTGTTTGAGCTGTGTTTGCGATGGATATGCATGTGCTCGTGAAAGTTAAATGGGGAAACATGATTTTCATCGGAGGACCGTTCTTAAGAATCTGACCTCGATACTAGGCATATGGCATGGGAGGCACCAATTGCAACAGATAGTACATTGTGGGGTCCCAACCCATCATCCTCCATTAGGAAGTTGACGATAACTGGACTTGGTTGTACCTCCGGTAGCCCAGGAACTCCCAATTGTGAATCCTTGGCATTCCCCCACATAAACAACTTTCCTTCATCTGACAAAAGAAACAGAAGCTTCAATAATTCAACACTAGCAGAAGTTCAAGGAACCAATATAATATCTCACTTTTTTTTT